GCCTAACAATATCTGCAGCCTCTCGCTTCCGCTGTCTTAAGACTTTCCAGTTACAAGCCCAGCCTTTGTTTTCTTACTAGTAATTTTGTAAGACTTGTTTCTTCGTCCTGCCTACTTTCTGCAGGGGTACTCATAGTGGGAGAATCTCATGATACTTTGATGACTTAGATCTATTTTATTTTTGGTTTAGTGGGCCTTCTCCTGTCCCCCTTTATCTTGATCCTCATAATGCTCCTATATATAAAGACACCAATCTAGTTGGTTGGATGCTAGTCTTAGGTGAGAAGTGCTTGCAAACAGGAACCAAACCTTATATGTTATGGGGCCAGGTACTTGAAATCTACTTGTATGTATAATTTGAAATTTTACTATCTCCACTAGCATTGCTCAGATTAAAAACCATAAAATATTGAATTGGAGAAAAGTATCTTATCAGTACTTCTCTGAAGCTACATCTACATAAACATGCAGTTATGGTTGAAAACTTGTGAAGTCTGCCCCCATGCTGATTTCTGGTTGATTTTGAGTACCTGGTACTATATACTTTTTTTGCACTATCATCACCATTGCCCTCTGTGTTTGACAAGAAACATAACACCAAGTATTTTTATTCATCAATTCTTATAAGCCCCAAATAGGATAAGCAGTAGTAAGTATATCTCCTTATCTTATGGTATGGGCAATCTCAATAGATTCATTATTAAGGATTCTTCCTATCAACCTCAAATTTCTTGTAGTCTGATGAAATAGTAAATGCTAAATACTAGCTCCTGCCTCACGTAAAGGAGTTTATTAAGAAGATTGTTTCTTGTATTTGTAGTATTGGGTTGGAAGCCAATATTAAGGTCGCTTTTGCCAGCAGTAAGGCCGGAGTTGACAGTGGTCAGCTCAGCCTTAATATCTTTGATGTCTGTCTTGGCGATTGTGAGGTCGATATAGCTGCTATTAATGTTTATTTATCCTTATTGAATATCCAATCTTATCAGGATGTCCATAGTGAAAAGAAAGTCACCAGAAAACTACAGTCTCTGCTGGTCTGACTCAATTATAGGTATGCACTTGACAAAGTACTCTTATTAACTGGAGAACAAATAGAGGCTAAGTAAAGGGTTATACTTACGGTAGAGGGAAGGCCTGGTGAAACTGACTGTCCTCAATGTCTTATCGGTAATAGATAAAGTTGAGGAAAATCAGGCAGTCGGAATTACATACGTGGCAGTAGTGTCTGAACACCGATGACTTGGTTGATGTAAGAGCAAACCCTCTTGTTTGATGCAAAAAGGTCTCTACATGTTAGTTAGTGCATGCTTCTACCCAATATTTGTAAACAATGCACTACCCCAAACCCACTATATGTGTCATGGTCAGGATTTTTATTTTTATTCCCAAGTTGTGATCATTGTAGTAAAAGTAAAACCTCCCTATCACAGGCTCAGGCCATTAAACAGCCACTCTCCCTGATCCTATCATCCTAGAAACAAACTGGGGGGGACAAGAGCCAATACCACAATTAACAGACATTCCGACCGAGCTAGAAACAGCAGAATATTCCTAGGTCCCTAAGTCCTACTCGCTAAGGCTACTCGGTCCCGCCATGCAAAGGGTTCATGTTCATGGTGCGTTGATACTCACAATTGGCTTTCTCGGTATTACGACGATAACGGGCTTCAAGATGATTGATGTATCTCCTGTCGATGAATACTGTGAGCTGACCTCCGAAGCTTGCAAGAATGATCATGAGGGGGGATCCTCTGCTTAGAAATGCCAGCTGAAAAATATTATAACATGTAGTTAGCAAACAGGGCATTTCAAAACAGCAGGAGTTCTTAAACAAACCAAAAAATGGCTGAGCCCGGCCATGGCGCATGCGTATTCGTGTATTGATTCAGTGGGTTGTGGAGGAAAAATCAGAAGTTTGTGTAAATTTAGTTGGGATGATTGGCGAGGCAATCGGGGGACAAAGCCGTAACTTTATCCAAGGACACAATCTCCTCCCGATTGGCCAAGCGATGTCTTGGCCCACTACCCACTCGGCCCTGATACCTCTGCTAGCCCACGGCTCTGCGCTTTTGAGGTTCAGTCAGCACCGTATCATACCTTAAAAACTCGTGAAATCGACTACGAGTGCGGCCGATAGATATATTAGTCACGTGTATTATCTCTGGACACCACAACCAGAAGGCCAACTAAATTTTTATCTTATCAGACCCACGTGACTAATATATCTATCGGCCGCACTCGTATCTCCGTCAGCCCCCTCGAGAAGGATAAGCCTTCCCTTGATATAGTAAAAGATCGGCCCGCCAGGTGTGTTGGATCTCGCTAACCGGTATTCACAATTCTGTTAACCTTCCAAAATAAATCTACAGTGGGACGACGGGCCGCCTGAGATAGTAGATTTCACAAGATTATATGGTACCCGTATTGTCTTGTCAAATTGACTATCTCCATGCATGTTTCTAATCTCCCCACCGCAAAAAAATGTCTCTGATAAGGCCTAGCCCTCAGCCAAAAAGGAAGAGAAAGATTGCGCTACACCTGTAAAGCTGCTCAGCAGAGTTTAACGCGATTTTCTCATGACTCTCTCCTTCAGTACTAGGTTCTATTTGGGACAGTGCATTTTGGCAAGGGGATTAGTACCCTGGACGGAGATGGTCAGTTTGGTGAGATAATATAGTGTTGCAGGATATTCTATTGGCTGGTTGGTCTGGGAGCCAATCAGAGCAGGTTCAACTTTTGTTTTTATATTTGATTTTATAAGCTTTATTCATTTCGTTCATTTACCTCGCTTACCCTTAAATCCAGATGCCTGAGGGCTACAGCCATCTCGGACACTGATTGAGGTGGTATCATACGCGGTTTCAATATCTTACTGGTCTTGAAGACAACTCAAGGCGGAGCAGCACCGCAAGCGAAATTCAATTTTAATATTAATCACGGTTTGACCCCCCCCCCCCCACTTCTGCGCTCCAAGGTCTCGACCACCTCCCGGGCTACAGCCCACTCCCGGACTCGAGCCATCTCCTGGGCCAGTGCCACCTCCCGAACTCGAGCCATCTCCTGGGCCAGTGCCACCTCCCGGGCAAGAGCAAACTCCATCGCACGAGTCTTCTCCTTCGCAAGTGCCAGCTCGTTGATCGCATCGTTTTTTCTTTCTCGGCGTGCAGCTCTCTCGTTGGTTACGTTTATGAGGGCTGGGAGTGTGGTGGCGCCGATGCCGGCCAGTGGGATTGCTTGTCTTGCGAGGTTGCTAAGTCCACCATTTAGTCGCTAGCAATCTTGGTATCATAGGTGCGAAAATAATAATAAAAAACTCCGGAATTGGCTTTGACAAACCCGCGATTTTAGAGAACATTTTCGAAAGAAAAAAAGGGGTGGATGGTGGTGTGGTGGTATAGGAGAAGTGCAGGAGGAGACGAGGGTTTATCTATGTGCCCTCCTCCATACCTCCCCTTGGGATTACGAGGTTACAACAGGGCCGTGGCGAGTGTCAGTCGCAATGCAATCCTTGTTTGGGCTCTTGCGAATCCGCGTTACTTGCTTCTTACATAGTCCATGCTCGCCATTACGAGTACCACTTTTCACTGCAAATATAGTATAGTTCTAATGTGCATCGGCATCTCACCTTTCCTGGCGGACCAAATCCTTTAATCCCCAAATACCCTCACAACCTACGCAAGGAAAGGGGAGAGAGGAAAAGAAAAAGAGAACTGACAACTGTAACTCCTCCCGGGTGAGATCTCATGAACCACCCATCCACCCTTGTTAGTTCTTGAGACTGCGGTCAATAAGCAAATTTTTGTTAATCACTGAAGTTTTACACATGGGTTGACTTCAGAACACAGCTGATGGAGATGATACGAGAGATCTCGTCGGCGAACCCCCAGAATCCGAATCAGTAGCCCTGAAAGATCCAGATGGGGGCTCTTGGAGATTCAGTCCACCGAGGCGGAATATATGGACAGTTTCCGTCGCAGATGGGGCTCAGAGCGGGGTAGGCATAAGGTTGGGGGGAATTGGGGAGATACGCGAAGGGTACGTTCCTCGGCGGAACTGGTAAAGTTTGTGGGCACCGGGAATAGAAAACACCCTGATTATCTTGCCCTTATCTGAGGCAGTAGCTAAGGGGGATCCCTCACCATCGAGAGCAACAACAGCTAGCAGGGCCTTGTGGTCACGTTCACAGCGTCAAGCTTTATTGCGTCGAAAAGAAGCCCATAATCCGATGCTGCGGGTGCCGCGTTAACGCCTGGGGGGCATGAGAAGGAGGTCAAAATGCCGAAGTACTCGAGTTCCTTGGTCTTGGATAAGCCATGTAACACTTTTCCGAGGACGGGGAAAGCTGATGAAACGTATATATCAGCAAAGATTGTGCGAGTCTCAGTGTACTTATAACGCCCTACCAGTAGTTTAGGTGAGGTCTCAATTGTGTGTAGTAACTTCATGTTGCTGGTGTCATACATATATTTGCTCCTCTGGTGCTATTACCAAACGCATCCGATTCAATTTGACAGCCAATATAGATGTTAGAAATGTGAGTTCGCATATCGTGGATTGCCGCTTCCGGCAGGACAACATTTCGGGTTACTGTAGCCTAAAATCGATCAAAAGGAGACTATATTTAAAACTAAGATAGTATGCATAAGGGATAATAGCTTTGTTGCCTCGGGCACCACCCCCCGTGTTTGTTATGACCAGTTGGCAAGGGGGAAGGACATAGCCCACCACCAATTGCCACGGGAAAATCTTACTCAAACATCAGCCCCTCCCGCTCCAGAACCCGGTACCCACCCTGCCCGAATCCTCCTAACCCCCTCCACAAACCTATTATCATACTGGTATCATACCTCCGCTAGCCGACGGCTCAGCGCTTTTGAGGTTCCGCTAGTACTGGTGTAGGCTAGGGCGATATCCCAGGGTACCGGTACTGTACGAGTAGTTTGGCAGTCGTGGGGGATTTCACCCACGATGTTTGCACATTAGTGGAGAGCTTGGCATGCATAACTTTCTACCCATAGAGGGGGCTTTTATGTTTTTCTTAGAGAGGGGGGGCATACCTTCCTCACGACACTCAATTCAATCACTAGTTCTTCTGTATTTGGTCAGGCTTTTCTCCTCAGTTCTCTCACAGCTTATCAGCTACGTTACACCTTATCTGCCGGTACCTGGAGTCAAGTCTACCCTTCCAATCACCCGTTATAGCTAGGGATTGATTTTGTATTTATACAATTTTGTATAATACTGTATAATACGGTATTTTAACGGTATAATATTATAAAATACGTATCATATTTGGTACTAGAAAGCTATTTCCACAATAATCCAGGATTCTATAGTAATAACCAGCAGGAGATGTAAAAGTGGAACCGGACCTTGTGCTGAAAAAAAAAAACTAGTTATAAATTTATGTCAATCCTGAGTAACCGGTTCTCATCAATGGTGTTATCATTTTGTGGTGGGGTTTACGAAGGTGTCTATAAGTGAAAATTTCACTTTAGGCAAAAGCTCACATCAAATGCCACCACAAAATTTGATAAAAAGCCACTACGCCAAACCCCTTGTTAGGGTGGTTAATCAGAAAAATTACTCTTTAGAGCTTATGATTTAGGGTTGCTTATTTTAGTACAGGTATGTATTGTATGTATGGTATAAAAAGTAAAGTATAATATACGGTATATTTGAAATCCCTAGTTATAGCAAGTGGGCCACGGACATCTTTCCCCTTCACAAGCGTGTCTGGCCAATAGTGGCTAAGTTGGGTTTAGGGGGGGGAAATTGACCAACCTTTAGGCGGTTTCGTGGTGTATGAGCCAACTACACCACGAAACTAGATGGTAGTTCTCCACCAAACTCTCTCCCCTTAAACCTAAACACGAAGATGACAGAGTCACACACCGACACCCTGGCATCTTTGCAGGAGATGCAGTTATTCCTGTAAAGAAGCTATGAGCACCGTCTCAGAATACCGCAACTGTGGCTTGGCAGAACGATGACGAAGCGGTATGGCGTGGTGCAAGAATGGGGGGTGCGAGGCCTCGTGATGGTTGCGTTTCGTATACAAGTGCGGCCGACTAATATATTCGTCACGTGAGTCTGATAAGAAAAATCGGGCGCCAAATCAGTCTTATCAGACTCATGTGACGAATATATTAGTCGGCCACACTCATATAAGTGGGGCACTACCCGCCCCTTTAGTTGAAAAGTAGCACAGCTTCCGCAACAACATCGAAGACAGCAATTATGGCATCAAACATCCTCAAGCGTGCCCAGTGATCCCAGGCGGCCAGTCCGTCCGGCTTTGAGTACGGCCGGACTGGCCCAGGCTTTTTCAGGGATGGCCGGGCCGGACTGTGGGAAAGCGGCTTTTCCAAACCAAAGCCGGGCCCGGCCTGGGTCACCCACAGGCCGATGTTTTAAGGGATCACGTGTGTTTCATTACTAAGAAATATTTCATTATTCAACAGGACTAACTATTTCATGCGGACAATACATATCCACCCGGGGTGGCTAGGGAGTTGTGTGAAGAATAGTATAGTGTCTTGAGGTAGGACAGCATATTTGGGTACCAGGTACAGCGGGGGTCCATCGCTGGATGTCATACATTTACCTTAAGCGAGATCTATAGTGTCAGGCGCATGTTGCTCTTGGTATCTTGTTCCGAGTGGTTAAAAGTGGAAAGCCTGCAGGCTGCCCGTGGGTATCTTCAGATTACCTGGGCATCTGGCGGCTCTAACCTAGGTTGCGCCAAGACTCGCGGTTGCCTAGGCGCCGCCGGACTTTGACGACCGTAGAGAATCTCGACCGGGCTGGCCCAGGCTTTTCAAAACCAAGGCCGGACTGACCGGACTGCCGACCTGTAGTCCGGACTATGGTCCAGACTGGCCGCTTGGGATCACTGAGCGTGCCATTCGCCCACACCTTCAATTTATCAAATACGTCCGGCCCCACCCAGCCCGTCAACAGCTGTTTAGCACGGACTCTGGCCCTGAACCGGACTCCATTCCAGAAAATTGTAGCGAGGGCAATGAGGGTTCCGTTCAGAGTCTCATGGTACGTTATTATTTTCATTGCCACTAATCCCACTAACAAATACCATGGCAGTGGGGCCGTATTTTCAGCAATGACAGGCGTCTCAATGAGCTTACAAAAGTTTCTTTCCTATATGTTTGGTCCGGTTTACCGGCAGCTTACACTTGACATAGGATTATAAAAACTCGGAGATAACTGCACAAAGAACCATGGGCGATATTACTACGACAATGAAGACCCAATTTGCCAACGTCGACACCCAATTTGCCCACGTAAGGGCTGAGTTTACGGACAAGTTTGCTGAAGCGAAGGTCGATTCAAACTACGTAAAGTCTAAATTGTCGTTCATCCAATGGCAGCTTGGGATTGTTGGCAGTGCTGTGGTCAGTTTTCTCGGTGTAAGTTATCCCTGGGATGAGATTTTCACTGTTACTGACATTAGGGCTTCTAGTTTGCAGGATACGGATTGAAAAAGTTGATGGATGTATATATCCCGCAGGTTGCTCCCGAAATTCCTGCTCCACCTGCCACGGTAAGGCTTAATGAGAAACCCCGCAGGGCAGATTACTGACAGATTATTCACAGAAGGGTAGGAATGTTCCAGGTGCTGCGGAGGGTCACTGTGCTGCGGAGGGGCAAGAACAGTGATTTCCTTCGCCCTCCGTCCTTTTAATTCTTTCGCCCCGTTTTGCCCACTCTTATTTTCCCCCTGGTCTATCCCTTTGTTTGTTAAGTTTCGATGGGATACGCTTACTTGTATGAAGGAGATATCGTTAAAAATAAAATTCTTTCCATAAACCACTAGAGTACTGTGGAGCTCGGGGATGGTTAACCAAAGATTACGTGGATAGTCGTTGAGGGTTTGTGTTGCTATGGTTGTTGAAGTTTCGTCATTTCATATTAAGCCGGAGAGCATGTGTTTAAGAGAAAGAGAAGAAGGAGGGGACAGAGGAGAGCAACCATCACCTCTCCCTTCCGTTACCCCTATCTCTTTGAAAGAATTCTAATAGAATCTTCATAGTGATTGAACCATCCATCTTCTTTTCATCTCTCTCTGAATTCAGCAGCTCTCTCCGGAACTGCCATCATATGATACCCAAACGAACGCCTGGTATCTAGAATAAGTAAAGCCCTACTACAACTGGTGCTAGAGGGAAAGGGGGGAGAGCTGTCGGGCATGTGAATGGCCATGCGGTAGATTACGACCGGAGGACGTTATCTATATACTAGAGATATAGAGTGCTCCTCCTCATGTATTTATACCTCTTGTCTATCTGTACCTCTTACCAAGAAAAATATCCCTCTCGGCACCGTTACCAGCAATCACTCCTACAGTACTCGTCAATTCGTAAAGTATCCGGATATAGAGAGACCGATACGGCGCCAGACGGAGGTATTATCCGGTATAGCCGACCAAATTTATTGCCGGTGTCGGGTCTCACCGCTGGGAAGGTATCCTAGCATACGGTATGACCAGGGCCAAGCCATTTCTCTATATCCGGATACTTTACGAATTGACAAGTACTTGAGTGTCGTTGGGTCTCCTGAAATCCCCCCTCTCCAGCAGACCCCTAATCCCATGACTCTAAGGTAAAGGCTCCTGTGAAATATTAGTGCTTTCCCAATTTCAAGTGTCTTTCCCTCCTGAAAACATATTAATATCTAATTATTCTACAGAATCAGGCGGAAATTCCTTCTGGTGATTTATTTTTTTGGTGATTGTTTGAAACCACATTAAGATATTCTGCGAGCACCAGCCTATCGGAGGGAGGCACACTGGGTCAACGGTCGGGTAACTTAATTATCGGTAACTTAGAGGAGGTTTCAGGATCCTGGTCTACCGCCTGTCTCACTCCACATTTTCCGAGATCTCCTTACAAGGGTTCCCCATAATTTTACACCTCTACAACATGTCCCGCCTATCATAATTTTTTTCTAGATCTCCACATCACGGAATACTGATACTGGATTCCAGCTGAACATTCACACTTTCCACAGTTCCGGGTTTTGATCCTGTTGCACAGCATCGCTCCACCCAAGCAAAAAAAGTCGTTGCCGAGGCCTTCCACCACCCGGAAGCTTCTTTCAACCCTACTCTCTTAATACTGGGACCTAAGCTAAGGAAGGACAGAACTTTCGAAAGAAGATAAATGAGTGCCAAATATCTATGTGGGTCGATGCTAACACCCTTCCGGAAACACTCTCCCACGAGGCCTTCCTACAATGGCGGGATTTCTTCTCCCAGTCTTTCTGCTCCCTCCTTTTGCTAAAGACCCACCGCTGCCCCCACCACCACATGGTATGATGTCCCCCAGTGTGGTTCTGGGATCTCCATCTCCGTCGGCATCCCAGAATTCCACAAACTAGGTGCAGGCCTCTACTTCAACCTCCAAACTCTAAACCTCCCTCACCGGGAGGCCGTCTTCGACATAAACTTCATCCGCACCAATCCCCAACCTTTCTACACCCTTGCGAAATCCCTACACCCTGGCCATTCACCCCGACAGTCACCCACGCCTTCATATTGCTAACGGCGAAGAAGAGCTTGCTTCACAAGTGCTTCACCCAGAACATAGACACGCTGGAACACGCGGCAGGAGAAGCTGGCCGAAGCCCATGGCTCCTCCACGGGGCAGCTGTTCTTTGATTTGTCACGCCGCGTACCCGGCCGATAGGACGAAGAAGCACCTTCTCGCCGGAAGTGTTCTGTGTAAGGCTTGCGCCTAGTTGGTGAAGCTGAATATTGTATTCTTTGGGGAGAGCTGGCCGAGGGCGGGGGCGGTCAGGGTTTTAATCAATATTGAGAGGGTGGGGGGATTGGTGGCCGGGCGGGCGATGTTCTTTTACTGGGCGGGTGCGACGAAGGGGTGAGAAAGCTTGCGGCAGAGCTGGGGTGGGTAGAGGAGCTGAAGGAAGTTTGGGGGTCGGTCGGAGGCGAGAGTGATAAGAAGGCGGAGGCGGAGGCTGAGAGCGGTGAAGATGCCGAACCGGTAGAAAACATAGAAGCAAAAGTCGGCCGCTTAACAGAAGAGGTTGAGCGCAGCCTATCCGTCGTTGACGGTTGGAAGGACAACGTAATAAAAGACCCCTCCACCTAAGAGACACTGACCGCCAGAATTGTCGAGGCCGACCTTTGCGGCGAGAACGGCGAAGTCAGCCTCATGGACCAGGAGAAGCTCGGGGATGGGGCGGCCGACTAATAAACTGACCCTTCCAAGGATAGGACTAACCTGGATACTGCCGCCCCGGGGTCGGAGCATCTGGTAAAGAAAGTGGGTAGCGCGGGGGGGTGAACAATTGTCACAAAATGTCGGACAACGGGGTGGGGGTGAGGTTGTTTAGATTTACGGTTTTAACTTTGCTTGATTTTCCGGTCGTTGCGGTATGTTAGCTGGTCAGTTGTTTTTGTTAAGCAATAAGTATGGATGATATATCATACTTTGGCTTTTTCGCATTAGACTTTTTCTGATCGCAGGGTGCTGTGATACCAGCATGAGACTGTTGTACAGTACCATATAGCATCTGCCATCATGAATGGTCACTCGCGTCGCAGCCTACGAGGGTCTGTTGTGTGTTCGTGAAGCCCGACTTGGAAGCCAGATAGCTGAATTCTGCATCGCACCACTCCTCTATTATATGCTTAAACTACTGGCACTCTTCCACCTTCCAGCACCTTGTACACTCCCAATCCTGCTTGTTTTCATTTCCCTATCACCAACCCTGTGATGAGAAGGCGTGAGAGACGAAAAAAATAAAAATAAAAATAAAATTGATTTTACCTAGGCTTAAACCGGGGACCACCAGTGTGTTAGACTACTGTGATGCAAACACTAAAGTGGCTAACCAGCAAAGAATCCGTGAAAACTAGTGGACCCACAAAGTACCGGTAGTGTGTCCAATAGCCATATGCTTGTCCCTGGTACGTCCGGGAGCAGAAGGGCCAATGTCCAACACCTATGTCTTCTGGGCAACTGGGCAATATAGATAACCGGTATGTAATCGAGTTCAGAGCAATCTGGGATACCGGTAACGAGTCTGGTTTTGGGGCAGCCGGGCGGGGTGTTCCGCCCGGCCCCCACAAAGATTCATCCGGCTGGGCATAGTGGGAGGGAAGTAGTACCGCATTAACTGGTGAGGACCGCCTGGCGCTAGTATGTTTAGAGTATGACCCTAAATGATCACTCTTAGCGAGCCAAAAAAACTGAAATCAATCATCATGCCGTAAGGCATCATCATGTTGTAAATCAACGTCAGTTCAAGCTGAGTGTTTGAGAAACCAGAGTGTGAATGTCAAGACAAGTCCTCCAAGAACAATACAGATCAATATGAAGTACCCGTAAGTTATCCATAATCACACACCCGTCCATTTCTAAGCACATATCCCCAGTACTCACAAATTATGATAATGCTTGAGTTTAGTACTGACTGAAATAATGTGCAGGACGTGACCACTGGCAGTTCAGTGATAGAGATACCCAAGACCGCCAGAATGCCGCACAGCCTAAACGAAGTACCAAATTCGGAGAAGGAATGTAAACTGCAAAGAGATATTACCAGGAGTTACCAAATATCTGATAGAATTCGTCCTCTGCATAGCAGTCAACATCAGCTACAAACAGCTCAAAGATTACTTAATCGACCCAGTCAGACATCCCAGAATGTTATTCAGAGACCACGCAAAGCACAGCAAGCCAGAAAAGAAGTCCACCGTTCCTATACGCGTGAGTTTAAACTAGAGGTTCTATCGTATTGGCTCCATCATCAGATAAGAGTAGGACCTACCACCTTTAGGTCTCCGACTCAGAAAGAGGTTTCTACCTACTTTCTCGTTCCTGAATCAACAATCCGAGCATGGAAGTCTGAGTCAACTATGGATACTATTGTGAATGAAAAGAAATATGGAAGACAGCAAGGTGGTAGGGCTAGAGGATATGCAAGTTTGGAAGGACAGGAGAGTAGTAGCCTAAGGGGTGGGCAAGGAGGAATAGGGCAAGGAGGAGAAGGAAGGATGAGAGAGTGCAGGTGGCCAGAGATGGAAAGATTGTTGTATGCTGAATATCAGCAATGAAGAGAAGAACGCAAGGCTGTTCGAAGAGGATGGCTGAAAAAGATGGCCTTTAAGTCATTTGTTACTGCATATCCAGAGCAAGACTCAAGTGGCTTTAGGTTTAGTAATGGGTGGTTTGCGGGATTTTTGACTCGGCACAATATCTCAATCCGGTTGACGACAAATAAATCCCAGAAGCTCCCTTCTGACTATGTTGATGTTTGTGTAAAATGGGCACAATTCAACTGCCGAAACTCACAGGTTCAACCTGGGATCAATACTCTACATGTTGTTGGCCGGTATCTGCTCTCTTCTATTTGTAACATGGATGAAACACCGCTACCCTTCGAGTTTCTAGGTGGTCAGACATATGCAGATAAAGGTAGCAAATCTGTGCAAGTAAAAGCTACCAGGAGCGGTTGGGATAAATAACATGCCACGATAATGTTCTGCATTTTTACTGATAGAGCAATGTGTGTAAAGCCTTTAATTATTTTTAAGGGCCCAGAAAATCTTACTCGCCAGGCAGACATCCGACACAGAACAGCAGAATACAGTCAGTATGATCCATATGTAGAGGTTATCTTCAACCCAACTGCCTACACTAATGAAAATGTACTTGTGAACTGGATTACCAACATGCTAGTACCGTACCTACCACCTGGACCAAGGCTGCTCGCAATGGACGTTGCAAAATTTTATAAAACAAAAAAAGTATTGGATACCTTACGTTCCTATAAGATTATTCCCTCCATGATCCCACCTGGTTGCACTTCACTGCCACAACCACTGGACATCTCTGTCAATAAACCACTCAAAGACATTCTCCGATCCCTCACTGAAGATGCCTTAGACCAGTATGAAGCACAATATGGAGAGGATTTACAAGAGACTGCCCAGGCCAGTGCTGTTGAGGATAGGCGAGTCTTGGTTCAAGGATGTGTTGCAGATGCCTGGGAGACATTTTCTACTCAGAGGAAAGAAGTGGTAGTGAATGCCTTTTAGAGGGTAGGGCTCTCTCTTCCAATTGATGGCTCATGTGATGATGAGTTGTCTGTAAAAGGTCTGTCTAAGGAGGAATATCAAGTAGGCGATTGGCATCTGGCTGAGAAGGAGGAAGGAAGTACAGCTTCATATTTAGAGGAGAGGAATACTGGTACCGATGGAGTCATCTTTGCAAGTGAGGAAGAGTTGGGTTCTTCTGATACTTATAATGAGCTAGTCGAATTTGTTGATTGTGAATAGCTTAAACAAGATTGTATGATACTACTTTTGATATATCTTGCATGTCGCTTAAACTAGCTCTAACCCCTCGGCAATTTCAGAACTGGGCTATACTCTAAGTCAATGTACTAGTGCCGGGCGGTCCTCACCAGTTAATGCGGTATTTTTTCCACATCTGACGTGGTACAGAACCAACTACACCACAAAACTAAATTTTGATATTAGCTTAATGTCAAGCTATAATGGTATTTTTTTCCTTATCACTTAGCCAAATGCTATTCACAATCCCGGCACATTTTTTCTTCCACTTGAATGCTCTTACTGATAAAGATGTCAGACCGAGCTAACCTACTGAACCCCAAATCTATATTTTGTTTTAAAGAAAAGAGAAGCGATTATGAAATCAAGTACATAAGGTTGATAGGTATTTCTTAGTACTAGGGCATGCACCCTGTGCGTACCCGGTCTCCCGACACACCTGCTAAAGTTACGTACCACCTGGCAAGATTATAAGTAGGTTCAAAGCTTCTTCAACCTACCATCTGAGAACACCACAGAACCAACAACAAGCACGAAAAATATCGTACAACGACAAGGTGAGTTTGTTTAATCTTACCCTATTCCCCTTACTGTATAGAGCATTGAAGACTGACTTTTGCCAAATTGACGACAAAGCACAGCCGAGCATCATGTTCAGGACCATCATCTACAAACAAACATCCAAGGCGAGGAGTATCCACCCTCTGTCCTACCATCCACATACTAGTAGAGTCATCAGCACCTTTCAGGTAATATCAGGGTTTTAGTATCATACAAACTGCATACTAACTGGGTGTAGCCGAGAAGAAATACCGATAACGATACCGACCACGATAACGGCAACCACCACCACGACAGCAGCCAGCACGCAAGCCCAGGGTCTCCCCCGGGAGTCTCGTGGAAAGAATTCACCCACTTGGACAAGGTGTGCTTGGAAACTAGAGTTCTGGTACAGGTTATATTGTGCTAATATTACTTAGGACGTCTCGAACATCAAATTGAAATTGGACCATATTCAATCGGGACAGGCAGAAATGCGAGCCGATATTAAAGATGTCGGCTAGTGTTGAGCACGAGCCGGCTCGAACAGGGGTCCACGAGCCGACTCGAGTCTCTTGGCGCTGCTGCCGCTTATCCGTCAAACCATCGCAACCTCCTACCGCCGCAACTCCATGTCTCATATACCACCACCTCCGCCTACCACCCCCCCCGCCTCCTAACACTACCAATGCAGTACAAAAAAGTGCAATCGCATGGTAGGTAGTACTATCAGATTGCTTATGCTAACCAAGGCCTGGCTTGGGCTACCGGAGGTGGAAACATAGGAAGAGGTAGAGGAAACCCGTGGGGAAGATGGGAACTATGAGGCAGACACAGAAGGAGATGGTGAACTTCCCCAGGAACCGGACTTGGGGATAGTGGGAAGGTCATTTGGCTAGTTGTATTTGTTTTCAGGTTGCTATATACAATTGTTGGTTGATTTGAATGATAATGGCAGTGTGTAGAGGTATCGTGGCCACTCTAGACTCAAGCCTCTTGGCGGCTCGCGCCTGGCTCGAGCAGGCTCGTGAACAACACCAATGTCGGCAACAAAACGGACCGCAAAATCGACCGTATTTTCTACGCGGTCATTACCACCCTCGTCGGATTCGTCCTAAAAGGAGGATTCGAATACTACAACGCTACAGCAAAGTAGCCTTTGACATAGGTAACTGGAGTGGAGTCCATTCATTTGAAAAGATTTCTAACTGATTGGTCGGGTAGAGACACGGGCCCCCCCATTCCCTTAGGTTGGTTGGTTGGAAATGGCTTATATAGACTGTTTTTTTGTTTTTTTTTCCCGTCGGTTGGCGTCTGCGGTGCAACAGGAGCTTACCGGCTGCCGGTATTTGATATCCTAGGAAAAAAATCAAGCCGTAATAGAATGAGCAATTGCTTTTCTCTTCTTTTCACCTGATCCACCCTACCTAATCCGCCCATCACCTATTAAAGGGATCGGCTCACTTATAGAATGTCGACCTAACTACTCAATGTGTCACCTTTCCCACCTTGAATATCCCTTCGTTTGTACTGGGTGTTGTGGGCAAGTCTGGCGAGCCTGGTCTGATTGGCTCGTAAGCCAGTCAGCCAAACATGGGGTCGAGTATAGCGAGTCGTTTCATGCTAAGAGTTCACCAGACTCTTTTCCCCCTCCAAATCCCGCCGGGGTTGGCTGTCCTAATGGTCACAAACACCTATTTTTCGCGTGGATGAAACAAAGTTCGCCTTACTTTTTTTTTTTAAAGAAAATTCCTTTTTATTCTGACTACTCGAGTAGACTACGGTGAAACGTTTACCAAGTTGGGTTCAATGGGGGGAGTCTTTTTTCTTTCCCCCAGAAATGTGGTAAGTTATTGGGTCGGGATTAGTGGTGGAGAAGTCGGTTTCTTTCCCAAATGGAATGTGGTGCATTCTACTCGTAGAACCAACTAGACTCACGTCACGTTGCACGTCACATAAGAAATCACGAACTCTCACTCGAAATAACTCCCGGTCCTGCGCACGCGAGCTGAGGAAAAGTTGGCTACGTAAATTATATTCCGTGAATCGGTTGTATATTGTCGACCCCATAACCTGGAACCATCTTACCACACGCTCGTTAAGCTTTACGCCCCCCCCCTCCCCCCACCCCAGAAAGAAGGATTTAGGTTAACATTTCGTTCGGTCATTCACGTTCACTTTATCAGGGAGCCGCTTTTCTGAGGAGCCTTGTTTTGACCTTCCTCGCCTACAGTCGCTTGCACACACTCGCTTTCCCCGCGCGCGCGCCCGCCCCGCCTTGTACTTACGGATTCCCCCTCTCACCCCGCTTTGTTAGGGATACGGTAGGATTGGGGGAATGATAGTGATGATGAACTTTTGGTCCGTCCTGGCCTTATTGTTGGCGACATTGGCTGTTGGGGGATGGGCGCATGAGATTGACGTCAAAAATGGGGGTATCATATGTGGAGAAAGGCGCACACACACGCTTCACCCCCGCATCCGCGATAAGGCCCTGCATCGGGGATGGAAACGGGGTTACAAAAGTAACGAGAGATGGTAATCGGGGCTTTTCTTTTTTATCTGCTGCGGCATTAGCCTCGGTATCCGAGGTCGCTGGAAAAGTCGCGTTTAAAATGATGCAGTTCTACCCCGGTAATAAAACCGGTGGCATTCCTGGATTATTCGGAGATCCTTATTACTGGTGGGAATGGTTAACAAAAAAAAAAAGTCATTAGTAGATTACTGGGCCTACACCGGTGACGCTAGTTACAATCCTACCACTAGCGTAGCCATCCTCCACCAAGTTGGCCCGGACAAGAACTTCATGCCACCGAACCAATCCCAGTCACTCGGGAACGACGATCAATGCTTCTGGGCACTGACCACTATGTCCGCGGCCGAGAAACGATTCCCAAACCCGCCCGATAATTTACCGCAATGGCTATCGCTCACACAAGCAGTGTTCAACACGCAGGCTGCGCGGTGGGACAGGGGTAGCTGTGGGGGTGGGCTACGCTGGCAGATCATCCCGTTACATAGCGGGTACGCTTACAAGAATACCATCTCCACCGGGTGCTTTTTCCAACTGGGCACGAGGTTGGCACGGTATACCGGGAACGCGACGTACGCGGAGTGGGCCGAGAAGACATTCGATTGGACATATAATGTTGGGTTAGCGACGTAGGAGCACAGGTTCTTGGACGGGGCGACGGTAACGAAGAATTGCTCGGTATAAATTGTTTGCAATGGTCCTATAATGCTGGGATGTATATGGCTGGTGCGGCCTATATGTATAACTTTGTTTGTCCCCTCTCCCCCCCCCAATCCGTTAGAGTATCGGATTGACAAGGCTGTGAAAAACTAAAAAAAGACCAACGGAGCCGGGAAATGGAAACCCCGAATCCAGGGAATCCTCAACGGCACATTGCAAGACTTCTTCACCGAACCCCCGGTCGGTCCCGAACACATCATGTACGAGGTAACCTGCGAGCCGTGCCTGACCTGCAACGTGGACCAGCGCTCCTTCAAAGCCTACCCATCCCGTTTCATGGGCTTGACCGTCAAAATGGCTCCCTTCACCAAGGACGCCATCATGCCGGTGCTGTACACCTCCGCCGCCTCCGCTGCTAAGCAGTGCTCCTACGGCGAGGACCAGAACACCTGCGGACAAAAGTGGTACACGAACGAATGGGACAAACTCTGGGGCGTTGGAGAGCAGATATCTGCGCTGGAGGTTATATTGAGCACTCTTGTCGACACTCTTGACCCACCGGTTACCCAAGCCAAGGGCGGCACGAGCAAAGGTGATCCGGCCGCTGGAGGGGGAGGTAGTGGGATAAGGTACAATGGGAAAGACGGCCGTGGCGGGGGTGTATATGGGTGGGTCAATTCAAAGGGGGAGTTCGTCCCCCATACGCCGGATAAGAAGGACAGGGTCGGGTCTATTGTCCTTACGGTGGTGACGGTATTGGGTCTACTTTGGATGTCATGGTGGATGGTGGTATGAAAGCTACATATAATGATACGGTACAAGTTGCATGAGGGGCACATCTGGACTAGTTCAAGGACTTCGTCGAGGCACAGCTCGAACTTTCCCGCAGCTCCGATCTCCTCAACCCCCCCGCTATCCTTTCTCTTCCGCTGCTGCTGCTCCTGGGCATGCTCTTCAAAGTGCCAGAGCAGCGGGCCAAAGTTCACCCAGATCCCGTCGTCGGCGAGTAGGTGCTTGATAGTCTCGAGGTAGGAGATCAGGTTTGGTGCTGTGTCGATGAAGAATACAGTGGCGCAGACGTCGAATTTTTGGGAGGAGGGGAGGTCTTTGTAGGCTTGGCGGAAGTCACCTGCTGTCATGCTGAATCTGTCGGTGTCCGTGAGCTCGAGGAGGGTTTCGGGGTGGACGTCTGGGATTTGGATGCCGCGGAGGTGGGAGGGGCGGGTGGAGTGGTCAGTGTTCCCAACGGGCCAGGTAGGCCAGGCTGAACCGGAGCCGGGCCCGGCCTGCCACAACTATGGGGGATTTAGCCCGGCCGGAGCCTGCAGGCTTTGAAAAGCCTGGGCCTGGCCTGGCCGGGCCCAGCTATAGGCCGCATAGGCTAAGTACCTGCCACCTGATAGGCCGGCCCAGCCTATATGGCCTAGCCAAGCCGGGCCCAGCCTACAAATACGGGCCTACAATCCCTTCAGATCCTTGATTTCCATTCGGCTCATCTCTCATTCCACTAAACTAGTCCGAGTTACTCCCGGGGGAGAACCGTAAGTTACATAGTCCCTACGCAAATTCCACGGACTGGTGTTAACAGAATAGAACGAGCATCAGTAAGATTACTAATAGTATTAGGCACTGATCCTACGTGCGGGTAGTAATATGGATTTGCTCGTGGTTGATGAAAACCCCCGAGGTCTAATAGGACTTGGCCAACCATAGTGGGCACACTCACTGATGGATTCCTGCCGAAGAAACTAAATCGGAAGGAAGGATTGTGAGATAGGACTGCATTGGAGAATCTGGAGGTAGACTTAAAACAATCAGCTCTAAAAATCCCACTCGCAGGCCTATAGGCTCCTACCACGCCTGATAGGCTTCGGCAGGCCGGCTGAGTTCGGCCTATATCCGCCTAGGCTCACTGTCAGAGCGGCCTGTCTTAGCCCAGCCTACGGCCTATAGGCCGGCCTATCACTGGCCTAGCCCGTTGGGAACACTGCGAACTTCAGGACGAGATCAAGCATTCAAATAAGGAGCTAGGGGACAAGTTTGCACAAACGCTGCAGCTGTCGTTGGCAGCTTTGAAGAGCGACATTTTGCTTGCCATTGCGAAGGAGGAGCGTAAGGGAACTAAAAAAAATTGATTCAGGAAGACGAGGAATGATAAACGGCTTGATGTTTTTTTTTTGTCCCTATGTTTATTGGGGTCTGGTTGGGCTACAAAAGGCTGCATGGATAGGCGTTTAGACAGTTTGTTTGTCTAACTGAATTTAATCTATTCGATTGATCGGGTCCGTGATATCTAGATAGTTGGTTTAGACCCGGGCGAATGAACAGCAAAGGTGAACGGCAAAAAGGAGCCGTAAACCACGAAGACGAACCCTGTATGTCGGCGGGTGGGTGGAGAAAAGGGTGGATGAGTGAGATAGGCCGCGAACGATACAGACAAATGGTGAATGAACGATGTAAGACCGGAAGGCGGACAGACGGTGACGGTGAGCACGCCGAGCAGCACCTCAGCTTTCCAACATTGAGTTCGTGACCGAGCTGCGTAAATGGTTGGGCGGCGATCGGGTGCTCGGCCAGGATGGGGTGGAGCAGGGTGTTAAGAATGTGCTTGATATGGGGGATAGGGGCGCTCTAGTGCTTGCTTGGCAGAGTGTTGTCGAAGCGGAAGAGGACAAAGAAGGAAGGATGAGCTTCCGGAGGGAATAGGGACGCCACCATCTGGCCCGGGTGGTAAGGCTCTGCCGGTGGCAAGGGAGAGGAGAGGATTGCGGGCAGTTGTTGTCGAGGCTCTTGGACGATACTCTGTCTATTTCTCCAGTGCCGGATATCTATTTCGAAAACCTACACTACACGCCGGGTTTCCCGGTGGAGAAGAATAAGGCTCAGCTGAGAAACTCTACGATCTGATCATTGCTACAATCAGAATCCTCCTGATAGGGAAGTCGTTTTTCCGCCACCAAACCATCAAACAACTCTGGCCTCCACCATCCTAAAGGACTGCATCAAGGACGTTGGCAAAGCTTCTCAACGCCCCCCGATCAAGAATGCCGGCGGCCCCGCCAACCGCCCTATCGAAAGGAGCCCGGCGCTGTAATCACCCTGCGCACGAATCAAGAGCAGTGCCCCATGTTCCCCTCTGGCCCCACAGACGGCACCAACCGCAAAGACTACTACCGCTTCTCACAGCTCCATGAGCGCCCCGGCTATCTGCAGAAACTCATGGATGAGTCATCCAAAAAGAAAAACCATGGAGATCATGAATACTCATGTGTCGCCTTCCGTGGTGGCATAGCCCACCGCGCAGACACGGGGAATAAGATTAACCCAACAGTAGGCATAACCCGCTTCAACCGCGAACCCGACACGCCAATTCAGAGCCTGTACACAATGAAACAACTCCGCAATTACAGTTTGGGCCTCCCACGCATCGTGCTCCCACCTATCAAGCGCGGCTCGCACATTATACTTGACTCATGCACTCCGACGCGCTCCATCAAATGCTGGGTTGTTCCTAAGAGCCTTGGGAAATTGGAGTACAGAGACGCGAGGAAGAGCGGGCGGGGTAATCTCTGGGCGCTTGGAGCAAAAGCTCGCGCAAGCCGAAACAAAGATTGACGGCGGCAGCAGGAAGACTATGTCGAAGTTTGTCGCCATCAAGGTCCTCCACCGTGATGGGGTGAGGGCTATTGTCAAGGATAAGATGACCACCTTCCTGGAGGTCCAACATGGTCCGGTTGTATAACTTATTGACACACGAATAACACCGCCAGTGACCATAAAAGGGTATGGTAGATAACAGCGAAAGATGTGTACCTAGTTTCTTGACTTGCGTAGACATAATTTTTATGGAATGGCGACTCCAAAGCCAGTTGCATCACCTCAGATCTCTGGTGGTATCATCACTAGCCATTACTCGTTGTCAGGTTTTGAGCAGTGAATCTATAATCTATGTATTCGCAATAAACATCCAATGGCAGGCTCATCCTTGATTTTCCGCACTACTCGAGTACTGCTTTTGGCTTTTGGTTAAACTCTTGGCACTATAGCTGGATACGGGCCTGTGGGATGTGCGGGATATGCGGTTCGGCCCCCACAAATGTTTGCTGTGTTGCCATGTGAGGGCTCAGCGAGGCAGCACCCTCAGCGAGGCACGGTATTTCTCGGCTAGCGAGAGCCGGTCAACTCTGGTTAATATCATAAATTTATACTAGCTAAACCTATCCGGAATCCGCTACTCTGGGGTTTGTGCTAGCCGAGAAATGCCACGCCTCGCTGAGGGTGCCGCCTCGTTGAGCCCTCACAGAGTCTACCGTAATAGCGTAGAGGTGTTCAACCAAAGACTGATTCTCTGCCTCCCTATTCAGGCTTAGGGTGAAAGCTTGATTGCTCGAGTACCTTTTGAGCGGTTTCGGGGATCCCGTGGTGTTAAAACCAACTACACCATGAAACCGCATGATATTATAACCGCCAAGCCAATACATGGCGTGTTTGTTCATCTTAGCTCTGACTGACGTAATCATGTGCAACTCGCCCCGGGGTAGACTACCGGTAAGCGACATAAGCTCCAGGCACTTTGGTGAATTTGCAGCAATTTCTTGTCTGTGATAACCTAGAATTTCTTATTTATTAATCCACCGGCTCTAACCTACAGAACTTGGAGCATGGTGTGGGGTTATAAACCTTTCCCGGTGTCGCTTATTTTGAGGTCTTATCTCCCTCTGAAACAACTTGTCCTATGACCCGGCCTTCGTTATGGTCGGGGGTCCATCACCAGATATCACTCTCTTTTCTTCTCCACTAGGGGTCGTCTGGTAACCATACAGAGACCAAAACACATCAAAATTACAGGTCCTCGAGCCACCTTTACCCAACCACTATGTAGAAGGGTTGTAGAAAAAAATTAAAAAGTGATTTGATGCAATGGCACCCACATAAAGGTATTGGATTTTTTTCCTTCAATTCCCCCAGAATAGTGAGATGTGGACTATCTTCTCCCACGAGGTACCTGCCAAGACCAGGGTTTTTCTATGGGAAAGATACATTGCAACCGACCTCGCCTAGTTCATATGGCACAGTTCTGTAAGGACTCTAGATGAAAACCTGAAATAAATATATATTACCGGTATACCATAGACATGCTAAATATTTTTAAAATTTTTCCTATACTACTTCCACCATGTGTGGTTGAGTAATAATGGCCCAGAAACCCGCGGTTCCGTCCTGTGTTGGCCTTTGTATGGTTAACAAAGGACCTCAATTGGCGCCTTGGCATTGAGTGATACCCCATGATTTTGGGGGCTGGAAGTTTTTCAAACCAGCGCCAAGACATTTGGGCAAACATTATTGCTATGAGGAAACCAAGTTCATGAGTATTGCGACAACCCCGGAAACACCACATCCACGTCCCCTAGGACTCAATTGATTAGCCAGCAACGATGTTATCCTCAGCGGTGGCTACACGGTCGAAAGGAGTGAAGATGAACTTCTGTGTCTGTTCTTTCGGAGCTCCCGGGGTGTCTGGTGCTTCCCCGCTACGGATTCCTGGTGCGGCTCGTTTCCGGGGTAAAAGCTCGCATCCCCGGTATAGGAGGGTAGTCCAAAAAAATCTCCCCAGCCAGAGATCGCCCGATTTTAGAGTGAGTATCGTCACTTGGGTTGGTGCATGCAGGGCTGATTTTTGTAGGCCCCTAGGGATACTCCATACGGTTGCCGGCCGGTGCCCTCTGTCGAAGGGTTGTCCCAAGCTAGAACCGCGCTACAGAAGAGAGGCGGAAAGCCTGTCGAAAAAAAGGTCGACAAACCGCTTGCGCAAGATCCCCGAGAGATGTACGCGCTTACAGAAGAGGTGTTGTTGAGTTTGATGCCGCCAATGGTCCATTCGCCAAACTTGCTTAGCTGGTATAGGGGGAATCCAATGCCTCCGAAAGAGTTGCGAACTCGGTATCTAGCCTTCATTAATGAGGTTTTGATGGGGTTTACGGTCCAAGATTATACGGCTACGGGCGGCTCTTTGCCGACGCCAGACAGTATCGCGGCGGTGCAAAGCGAAGGAAGAGGATTGGACTACTACTTTGTTAGTTCCTTTTTGCAATATATCGGGCAAAAGGATTTAGCCACGAAGGACATTCATATGATCAATATTAAGAAAGCTGCAGACATGAGGTTCCCTCAGGAATGGTATCCAATGACAAGGCAGTTCAAGAGAACTTGGCATTTGCACGTTGGCCCCACCAATTCTGGGAAGACCTATAACGCGTTGAAGAGACTAGAGGAGGCCGCAGACGGGATTTATGCTGGTCCATTGCGTTTGTTGGCCCATGAAATTTTCGAAAGGATGAATGCCAAGGGAATCCCGTGCAATCTTGTTACGGGAGACGACAGGCGGATTGTCTCTGAAGCCGCCGCTATATCTTCAAGCACCGTTGAGATGGTGGATTTGAATCGGCAAGTTGAGGTTGCTGTTCTTGACGAGATTCAGATGATTGGAGACGAAGATAGGGGGTGGGCATGGACCCAAGCACTTCTTGGAGTACGGGCGAAGGAGGTTCACATGTGCGGAGAAGAGCGAACGGTAGATCTCATCAAGAACCTTGCGGCTAGCGTGGGAGATAAGTGTATAGTCCATAACTATAAACGCTTGGGGCCGCTGGAAGTTATGAAGAATAGTTTTGGGGGTGATTTGACTAAGATTCAGAAGGGAGACTGCGTCGTTACTTTTTCAAGAAAGAGCATCTTTGCGATGAAGAAGGAAATTGAAAGGGTGACGGGGTTGAGATGCGCCGTTATATATGGAAGTTTGCCTCCAGAAACAAGAAGTTTGCAAGCGAGACATTTCAATGATCCCGAGAGTGGTTATGATGTATTGGTGGCTTCTGATGCTGTCGGGATGGGGCTTAACCTGTAACCCCCCCCCCTCACTTATTTCGGGCAATTTTCTGATCTACTATAGGAGTATTAAACGTATGATCTTTGAAACAACAATCAAGTGGAATGGCTCGGAATATGAAGCTATCAGTGTTCCCCATGCTAAACAGATCGCCGGTCGAGCTGGGCGTTACAGGGTGGCTGTGTCCAAACACAATAGCCGAGCCGATGAGACCGTCGTCCCACTACCTCCCGCTCCCTCGGTAGGCCTCGTTACCACACTGGACGAGGTGGATTACCAATCCCTCAAATATGCTATGTCAGTTACTCCAAAACCGATTCCAACAGCTGGCATCCTCCCAACCTCATCTCAAATTGAAGAGTTCGCATCCCTATTCCCCCCGAACAAAGAACTATCTTTTATCCTCAAAGAAATGGATGAGGCTATGCGCACAGCAAAGCTGTTCCACATTTGCCGAGTAGAAGAGCAAATCAAGACTGCGAGATTACTGGAAGGAATACCAGGCTTGAGAATAATCGAAAGGTTGCAATTTTGTATGGCGCCTATTGGGCGCGACCTGAAGGTCCAAGAAGCAGTGAGGAGTATGGCAGCGTGTGTGGGTTCCAATAAGGATGGGAGTTTTCTAAAAATTCCGAATGTGGATTTAGAAGTTCTAGATATCGATAACCCGAAAACTATGCCAGTCTTACAGCGGCTAGAGTCATTACACAAGACTATCCTGGCGTGGCTTTGGCTATCGTATGTGACGCTCATACAGCCCCACTTTAGGTAACAGAACTGGTGTACTGATGGAACAAATAGCTGGCGTTTTCCTGCTACCTTCGCTCCGAGAGATACAGTTCAGGAGCTTAAGGGCATTTGCGAAGAGAAAATCGATATCGCACTATCGAACGTGCGTTTCGAGAGAGGGAAGAAACCGGCGTACGAGAGAATATCCCTCGGGGCCCCGATGGATGCAGAAGAAAGCGCAGAGGGGACTGATGTAGAAGGGTCTCCAACCAGCGATAGTGACGAAGATGGGTTCGAAGGGACGGTTCTGCCACATCTGGGAGATAATCTAGTCGATTCAGAGAGGTTAAATCAAGTAACCGCGTCTAATTGAAGATGTAACCGGAGGGTTTGGAGTAGAAAAAGTTGAGCTCAGGGATCCTTTCAGGACATATCATAGATGGCGTAGGGAATTGTTTTCCAACTGGATGAGCTGCGATTGCCCTTTGATACACCTTTTGGGGGCTTCCTGGTAGATCTGTATATTTATGTACTCTATTATTGTATTCATCGGGTTAAATGAAGACTCTCAAACGGTATTCCCCTCTTTTTCCCGCCTGGTAAAGCATTGGAAATTTCTTTACATAGTATGATATCATATTAGTACGAGCGTGGCATCACAAGTCTCGGGTATGCCGACACCTTACATAAAAAAATGAGCAACTCTACATCCGGAAATCTCACATTGATTGCCCTGATAAAAAATTGAGGCTTGATAAACTTCTCAGAATCATATGGAATTCGCTCCGAAAAGAAAAAAAAATCAAGCTCTATCAATAGACTTTGAGAGCAACATCTCATAGAACAAATCTTTAGCCATCAGCACTTAATCACACAAGGATGACAAAAAAATCACACGATTTCTACTGAAATAAGCCAAGCAAGTGCAGAGCGCACGATCGTATTTTGATTAATTCTATCTTATTTTTGGGTAGGTTAAGAGTCCTTAAAGCCTACCGGTAGTGGGTTGGGCGGAGAATGGCAGCCTGCTCAAGGCTTTTGATGCTAGGATCGTATTGTACAGTACACTTCGTATCATACATTAAGGCTGTGTGAGGTTCTCCCAAACTTCCTTTTGTTAGGCGTTTCAAATTGCTGTTTATAAGGCGTGTATCGCCGGACATCTCAAGGAACTTTTGTAGCGTTAGGAAGAAAAGAAAAGAGCAGTTGTGATATTTGGCCTTTTTCTAATATCACTGAGACTATATGAGGCAGAGCAACAACCCAACTCAAAGTAAGATATATTAATGGGAGTATGATACGAATCCTAAAATAGAATTTCTTAAGCCCTGCTCGCCTCTATTTCAAACTACTTAATGTACCGCTAAACACCTAAACCTTGTATCATTCTAGGTGTATTTCTTAAGGAGGGGCTTTTCGAAACTTACTGTAGAAGTATGGTATGATATATCATAGAACGAGCCATAATCTATGACTTGGTTGTATCATAGCTACAATCACCAGCTCTCACTCACAGTTAGCCAGATGCGGTGCCTTTCGCGGGGGAAGGGGGAGGAGTTCATGTTCCGGTCACTAACGCATGAGCACGAAATTTCCCCCTGCCGTATTCACGGTCCGAGAAAAATGGTGGCTTGAAGCGTTCAGTTCATCTTTCGGTTTTCCGTTCTCCGCGTTTGACTTGTGCTTCTTTCTCCGGATGCAGCAGACCTTGAAGGTTACCCTCCCGAATGCGGGGCCGTCGGAATTTCCAGAAAACTTCAAAGTTCAAACCAACCTAAATCCTTGGCGAGCCCCTCCACACGATATCCGTCACGTACAACAAGCCCACCCCCTACGATCTAACAATATCTCTTTTCCGCTGCACCGATAATAATGTCTGCTACTAGTCTCTTGAATCCTAAAGCCGAATCGGTTCGTCGTGGGGAAGCTCTCCGAGTGAACATCGCCGCCGGTGAAGGTAACCTTCCACGGTATTCCCTTGCGTGTTTTGGTTATCATCGCTAATTAATTGGGGGTGGATAGGGTTGCAGGATGTTTTGAAATCGAACCTAGGTCCCTCGGGGACGCTGAAGATGCTTGTTGATGGGTCGGGTCAGATTACGTTGACTAAGGATGGGCAGAAGTTGCTTCGTGAAATGACTATTCAAAACCCTACAGGTATTTTATCTGCTCTGCGATGGGGATGGATACTTGTACGAGGGCCTGGGGATCTTGCTGATGAGTTGCAAATATAGCTGTGATGATCGCTAGAGCAGGTGCAGATCTTTATCCCATAGATTGCTAGAGGCGTATGTTGGATGCTGACTCGGGTATTTTAGCAACGGCTCTTGATGATATCGCCGGTGATGGAACTACTAGTGTAGTTCTATATGTCGGAGAGCTCCTAAAACAAGCAAGAAGATATATCGAGGAGGGCTTACATCCCCGTATTATCACTGAAGGATTTGAGCATGCTAAAGTTGAGGCACTTAAGGTTTGATCCATTCGAGTCACTATCATCACCAAGCATATCTTAACTTATCTGGTTATGCATAGTTCTTGGATGACTTTAAGATTGCTCGTGAACCTGACCGCGAACTCCTGCTCTCGGTGGCCCGTACTTCCCTTTCTACCAAGCTTAACAAAGCCCTTGCTGAATCCCTTACCCCCGCTATTGTCGATGCTGTTTTGGCGATCCACAATCCTCCAGCGAAACCCGATCTGCACATGATAGAAATTATGAAGATGCAACATCGTACCGCCTCGGAGACGCAATTGATTCGTGGTCTGGCACTGGATCACGGTGCTCGCCACCCGGATATGCCCAAACGTGTAGAGAATGCTTACATCCTTACACTGAACGTTTCTTTGGAGTACGAGAAGAGCGAAGTAAACTCTGGTTTCTTCTATTCATCTGCAGAGCAGAGGGAGAAGCTTGTTGAGAGCGAGAGGAGGTTTGTCGATGAGAAGCTGAGGAAGATTGTAGAGTTGAAGAAAGAGGTTTGCGGAAATGACCCCAAGAAAGGGTTCGTTATCATTAATCAAAAGGGAATTGACCCTTTGAGTTTGGATGTTCTTGTAAAGAACGGTATCTTTGCTCTTCGACGGGCAAAGAGGAGGAACATGGAGCGTTTACAGCTGGTCTGCGGTGGTATATCTCAGAACAGTGTTGATGACTTGACTCCTGATATCTTGGGCTGGGCCGGGACTGTCTATGAGCACACACTTGGCGAGGAGAAGTATACCTTCATTGTATGTTCACAAAAGGTCACTACCGGCTTTGTTCTTAGAAGCTAATCAGATGAACAGGAGGACGTCAAGAACCCAAAATCCGTCACTCTGCTCATCAAGGGCCCTAACGCACACACTATCGCTCAGGTCCAAGACGCAGTCCGTGATGGACTGAGGAGTGTTTATAACATGATTGTCGATGGCTCAGTCGTTCCGGGGGCTGGCGCTTTCCAAGTTGCCTGTGCAGCGCATCTAACCGGCGAAGCCACGCGAAAGTCCGTCAAGGGAAAAGCAAGAATGGGAGTGCAGGCATTCGCAGACGCCTTACTAGTTATTCCAAAGACCCTTGCAGCGAACGCTGGGTTTGATATCATGGACTCTTGTATCTATTCATTTTGCACCGTTTCTTAAAGCCGGACGCTGATAATGGTCTAGTGGCGGCGCTGCAAGACGAGCAGGCAGAGGGTAACATTGTCGGAATCGACCTCAACAGTGGGGAGCCCATGGATCCTGTATCTAGAGGTGTTTTCGACTCTTTCCGCGTTCTCCGGAATTCGATTGCCAGTGCGTCAAGCATTGCTAGCAACCTTTTACTCTGCGACGAGCTGCTCAAGGCGAGACAGATGGTAGGCTTGATAGCACACATTGGGTCCCTGAAGGTCTGGCTGCTGACAACGATCATAGGGCTCGAAAGGTGGGCCGGGTGGAGCACCGGAGGAGTAAGTGCGATGACGGTACGATATCAAAAATGTTAGACGTCGGATGGGAAAAGGGCTTAAAGTCGAACGGATAAATAAAAGGCTCTTCCACGTTTGTTCGGTTTACTGTACTGTACCTTGATCCTTCATCCCTTCCACATGACCTCATTGGTGAAGCTATGGGACGAAATGAGTAACGTGTAGATTTGACGTGCTTTTTCCTGATATCATGCTCATGCCTAAAGATCCACGCCCTGCACCGCAAAAAAAAAACCCCCCACTAAAGTTATGCAACCCAAAAATAAAGAATTAAGCAAAAAAAAAAAAAAAAAGACAATAAATTGACAATAAAAGGGCTAAGTATCAGCACGCGGGAACTAAAAAAAACCCGTCCAATAGAAGAGGAATGTAAAAAGAAAAGAAAAGAGGGAGGAAATAAAAAAAAAGACTACTCCCCATTCTTCTCTTCCCCACTTAACCCCCTTCCAAATTCCTTCTCACTAGCACTCCACTCCTTCCTCTCCTGCACCATCCTCTCGACAAAGGCACCCGTGAACTTCCACGCCTCAGCGCTTCCCAAATTCCACGCTTCAACAGCCCACCTAATCCTAGCGATCTCCTTATTATCCTCCATTTTCTCCTCCCCGACCATCTTCCCACCAAGCACCTCGCCAACCGTCTTCCGGAACACAACATTCCTACGCTCGTCCCCGGTCGGCTTCTCAATCTTGAAATCTTCCGCGGAGGTGAGCGTGAAACCGAATATCCACGGGATCTCCTCTTCGTGGACGGGCGCCTCGGCCGAGACCCACAGACTTGAGAAGTTCGCCCTGGCAGGGGCGGCGATCATCTCCTTGATGGCGAGGACGCGGGTGCCGGGGCCCAAGCCCTCTTTCAGCGGAGGCGTGGTGGCCTTGTGCAGCCATGCGTCACGATTCCGATTCTGGGTGCGCACGTAGCGGAGGGTGCGTCGGGTGTTTTCCGACAGGCTAAAGGTCGTGTCCATCAGTGCGTAGTAGGTGTAGGGGTGCGGCACGGCAGCGAGGAGGAAAGTGGAAGGGTCCTGGGGGATGAAGGGTTTGGGTGCCACGGGGGGGCTCTTGCAAAAGGTGCAGGGGCGGTTGGAGGGGCAGGAGCCCGGGATTGGGTTCCCGGGTGGACAGAAGGAGAGGCGGGTTGCCAGGGCCGTTATGGCCGCGTAGGCCGGCTGGAGTTCGATGGGAAGTGGGGAGAGGATGTTTATGCTGGTGTTGTATGTCGACAGGAAGGTCTCGTGCAGGTGCGAGTTTATGAGTGTGGGAAGTTGGGCGGCGCTTAGGTCTGGCCAGCGGTCCGCTACCGCGGATGGGGTGTAGTCAGCGAAGGAGCGGGGGAGGGGTTCGATACGGATTAGACCTTCGGGGGCAGTCTTGGAGATTTCTTCGATGGATGCGGTGTTGTCGGTCGCGGTGTCGGTAATGTGCTTCAGGAAGATGTCGATTGAGGACTTGTCGCCGGCGAACAGACGGTTTCCCCAGCCTTCGTACCTGGTCACGCCGTCAAAGTCACAGCGACGGAGAGCGGTGAGTCCGTAGTCATCGCGGGGGGCCATCGGTATGATCTATCCCGGGAGCGATTAGATTAATTCCCAACCCAATTCCCCCCACAGGAGCAACTGATGCCATACATACCCTATAATCCACCAAAACCCCTCCCGTCCCAACCCTCCCCCAGGCCAACCACCTCATAACCTCCCTCTCAAACTCCTCGCCAAACCTCCCCTTGACGACCCTATAAAGCCCATGCTCCTCCGCCTCCGCCCTCCCGAGCACCAAGGGCTTAAAGCCCTGAGCCCAGAAGGCCCTCCTCCACGCCAACAGCACCCCATCCTCCCTCTCGTCGCCATCATCGAAGAAGGTGTAAACGGGACACCTCTTCTCCAAAGGCGGTAGCGCGCTCCTCTCCTCGTTCTTGGCAATATTACTGCTAAAGGGATTGAGCCACTTCCAGCTAGAAAACCAGCCCTCGCTGGACGCGGTAGAATTCGACGGTGGTGGTGGCTTGTGTGTTGCGGGCTTGAAGAGGTTCGGTGCGTGCTGTTTGATCTCGGACTTTAAGTCTGGCAGCGAGAGCTTCGGCACTTTCTGCGGCGTCAGGCTTGTTGGAAGGAGGAAGTTGAAGGTCAGGCTTATGATGAAGATTGAGCCGAGCAGGAGGATATAGCGTCTTGCTGCCATCATGGGTTTTGGCGGGGGGGTTTGGTTTTCTTGTGTATAGTTTTTTGATGGAGGGACACAAGGGAGAGAGGGGGTTTGTATGATCGCTATCGTGGCGCTATCGTATTCTTTTTTTTTTACCAAGATCGTAGTTGTTGGAGGAGGTGGTGGTGGTGGTGGTGGATGAGGAAGCTTGGTCGTCAATTGGTTGCGTGCGACAGGTATGGGTAAAAAGAAAAACGATCAATCGACCTGATGATAGTATGTTTTCTTTTTTTTCTTTTTTTCTTTCCCACCCCCGTGAGGAGTTTAGTCTACCACATAGTCTAAAACCCAAGACGCAACTGGCACTCTACAAGTACCGGTACAGGGCTAGGGCGAATCGAGCCCCTTGAAGTAGCGTACCGGTACCTGCACCCTTAAAACGGGAACTAACCGAGCCTCACGCTGATAAATTAAGTAATTAATCAACACGTCCAGAACTCCGCCCCCCCCCCCCCTTCTTCGAATACGATAGATACCCTATGATATGATACCGTACCGATAAAAGGTGGGGATGGCAATCAATTTCGAACCATGGAAAACAGATATGTATGATGGCTGTTACAATAACTCTTACAGTATGGTTCCGGAAGTTGGAGCTCCTCCAGTACCATGGTCGACTCGGGAGAGGCACTGTACTAGTACCGTACTGTACGAGCACAGTAAAGAGAACCTCGATCACCATAGAAAAAACGGCGGATCGAATCAAATCGGATCGAAGAATCGAACCCAATCGCCTCTTGCTTCCTCCTCCTCCTCCTCCTCCTCCTCTCATCTACGGATATCACTGATTGGAAGAACCGCACATACGGTACCGGTACCGTAAACCTCGGCCGCAGCTCAAGTCCGTCCGGCATTCCATGATGAGACTATGCACATTATCGATATCATAACCCTTTATGATACGGTATCCTTCTGTGCTGGTATTTATAGATGCTGCGGCACGCAAACAGACCCGAAAGTGCAGTATGATGGATGGTTGATGGCTGTGAGGGATACCGTAGCCTACAACTTACCGTAAGCAGATCGTATTACCGTAGATATGATATCCCTTTCTTCCTTCTTTTTTTATTTCAAGCGGGAATGTCCCCATCGCCATGTGCCATGCCAGAAAGAATGGATTGGAAACTCCGGAATCGTTTGTCCGATTGTTTTTTCTTTTCTTTTCTTCTTTTCATCCTGGTTCTTAATAGTATGCACAGCTGTTATTCGTAGCTACCGTAGAACATCACCGTACCCACATAATCTCGCTTTTCCGGTGAGGATCAGGGGTATATGATACTATGCTATATACTGTACTGTACTGTACTCTACTGTACCGGTACCCCCCAGCCAGCCAGCACCCGGTGTCCGACTCGCAATCCACGGGACCAAGAGCTGTCGCTATCGCACGACTACAGTACAGTACGATACTATACCGGGTACTCGGGTACCGGTACGCACGATATGCAGAGGTCACGGTAAGGATGGGAACAGACAGGGGTGTAGTCTAAAGTCCCAGCGTTCAATACCGTACCGTTGGAGTTGAAAGGAACGTTTAACCCGTTGTGTACTAGTATAGTACAGTATGTATAATGGGAAATGCTAGAAGGACATCCTGAGCTTGTGTCTGTTCCATCACTCTATACTTGAGTAACCATGGTATTATACTAGAGACTAACTTAACTCAAACCTGATGATTTCCCATGGTACGGTACGAGTACGCTGCAGTGACAATACCCCACTTTTGAAGTGCTCTCCCCTTCATTTTTCGAGAGAGTTTGTTCGACCTCCTTCCCCTTCTTTGTTGTTTGAGATATCTATTGCCTGTTGGTTGGCGCATCGTGCAGTGCTGCCGGTATTCGTGGTTGGGGGAGATGGCCGGTGGTGCGGGTACTGTACAGTACGGTACTCAGCGGATCCACAAGAGTGGTTGGGTGGAGGGGGAGAGAGGGGTGCCGGTGCTTGTCTAAGTTAAACGTCCCGGTTTTGCACTGCCGAGATGGAAGCTGCGATGCGGGTAAATACTACAATCTCTCTACCCGTCAATTAATCAACCGCGTTAAATCTAATAATGTTATTATGGTACATATTACTATCCATCTCGCTCGGCTTCGGATCCTAAACCGTGCCTCCGAGCCTCTTAATATCCCTCCCCACACTCTCAACCCCGCGCAAGAGCGCAGCATACCTCTCCACGAGCCCGACCATATCCGCTCCCGCAGCACCGTACCTCTCCAGCTCCCCCTCGGCGACCCTCTTCCTGGCTACGAGCCGTAAATTGGTGTCCGTCAGGTGCGCCCTGTAATTCTCCAGCGCGCCAACAGCCTCCTCATCGTACACCTCACCCAGCGCATCGAACTGCACTACCCCAACCTTCCCACGCATGCTCTCGGCGAGCAACGCTAGATACATCGCCTTCGACAAAGTCCCCTTCCGCAGCGCCCCGCACGCGCCCCCATCGGAAGCGGAATGTGAGAGGGCACGCAACGAGAAGGCGGCGTAGCCATCTGCCGCCTCGAGGATTGACCTGCCCAGTCGGCCCCGCTGCGCGACGAGCGATTGGTGGTTGGCGAATATCTGGGTGCGCAGACGGGCGGCGTTGGCTGGGAGGTGGTCTATCGCTATCGCCATTCCCCCCTCTCCACCAATTTCCGTATCCAGGTCGGGCTGGAGAAGCGAGATTAGGTCTTTAGCGGACCGGTCCAGGAATAGTGAAATCTCGTGCGCGATGGGCTGGATGTTCTCGTGGAAGACACCTAGGGCTTCTGGCATGCCTGCGCTCGTGCTCTCATTATTGGTGTTGGTGGAGGTGAGGAGGTCGAGTGCCTCGGAGAGGTCTTCCGGTAGTTGTCGGGAGCGGAGGGTAGTGTGCTTTAGGGAGTTTTGGAGCAGGTGCTGCTTTGCTAGCTCGGCCCTGTAGGTGCGGAGGGATTGGTCCAGGGTTGAGGAGGTGGAGGATTGTGGATGGTGTGAGGGTGGTGGGGGTGGATGGCGGGTGCTGGCGTCCGGGTTTAGGTGGTTGGTTGTTAGGTCTGCGTGGAGGGCGGAAAAGAGGGGGTTTGCCGAGAGGGTTTCGGGGGAGATTGGGGGGAGCATTGTTGTGGTTGTCGTGTGGTGTTGTGTGGTGAGTGAAGGTTGAGAGTGAAGGTTGGAGAGGTTTGAGGAGGTTTTCTGGCTGTGAACCGTGCGCGTGGTTGGCTGGGCATTTGGTGCTAAGTCAGGGCCTTAGCTGCTTTCTCTCCAGATGCCATATCATAGTCTACTTCCGACAGCCGATTGGTAGACTATCGTACCTTTCGCCTACTACAGTACTGTACTTGTACTCATGGTAGAATTGAAATTAGAACAACATACAGTACTCGTACATACATACATATCATATCATACATGCGTGCATACCGTACGGGTGCATCATGATCGCTCCCAACCCTCTGATGGAGCTTATTCTATCGTGATATAACTCGATAGCCATCCGAGTCCCCACACGCGGAAAACAAAAAAGAAAAGCCAACCCTCAAGGAAACTGTTTTAACAAAATGCCACCGACCGACCCTGTCCTGTATAAAGTTTAACCCACGAGCAACTTTTTTCATGAAAACAGGAGAAAGCGAACAGAGAATAATAGCAACAATAAAAATACTACACGTGATATCCACAAATAAATGTCATATCCCCTATACGCAGAAGAAAAGTGAAAAAAATGAAGAAAAGAAAGAGAGAAAGAAAGAGAAAGAAAGGAGAACCCAAGACCAAGAGTGATGAAAGGGATGAAGGGGGGGGATTTATTCTAAACCAACTTCTACCGCTCCAATCCGACGCGGATTCAATCCAATTCAATCCGCTCTAACCCTTCCGGTCCCCTTCGACTCTGCTGGATCTCCGATTCCGAATCCCCAATGCGGCCTCTTCTTCCTCTTGCCCGAGTTCTCACCATACTTCTCATCGAACTTGCGGATCGCCGTGAGCGAGGACATGTCGTCGCTGATACTCGCTGTGATCTCTTGCAACGCCTTTTGAAAATGCCTCTCTTCCAGAGTGCGCTTCTCGGGGAAGGTAAACGACCCTTCCCCAGCTCTTGCTTCTGTAGCTGCTGCGTTCTCCTCGCGAACGCAGGCCAGCGCGGCGGAGACGCAGAGGTTCTTCAGATCCGAGCCGGAGAAGAGGGTTGTTTGCTCAGCGAGTGATTGGAGCGATACCGATGGCGCGAGTGTTTCGGCTGCTAGGTGTATCTTGAGAATCTCCCGGCGGTCGTCTACGGTGGGTAAGTCTACCAACAGCCTCCGCGGGAGACGGCGGAGGACTGCATCGTCGAGGTCGAACGGACGGTTCGTGGCGACCATTATGAAGGCGGTGGATTGCATATCCGCCCATTCTTTCAAAAACTGGTTTATGATTTCTCGGTGCGTAGTGCGGGTTGAGTGGCTGTGGCGGCTGCCGAAGATTGCGTCGGCTTCGTCGATGAATACGACGCAGGGCGAGAGCTTCTTTGCTAGGGAGAAGATGGCTTTGACATTTTTCTCGCCCTCGCCGACGTACATGTCGAAAACTTCAGAGCCGGAGACTTCTAGTACCTGTATTGTTCAAGAGTCTGATATCAGTAGTAATTTCATGGCAATCTGGGAGAGATGGGGGAACGTACTGTGGCTCCGCTCTCCTTTGCTACAGCCCTTGCGAGTAAAGTCTTTCCAGTGCCGGGTGGCCCATATAACAGCACACCTGGTATCCGGTCGGTAGCCAGTACACCATATTTGAAGGCCTCGGGTCTTATCAAGGACAGCGAAGTTAACGTCTTTAGTGCCTCGACAGTTTCTTCCGGAGCTCGGACGGATGAGAATCCCGTGTGAATCTCGGTCGGGTCGATAACACCCCCCAGTAACTTCTTCTCGTGCGGAGTGCAATTCTTAGGTATCTTGGGCTTCTTCCTCAACGGCTTTCCTTCTAGCACTGCAGCCCTCTCCGCTTCGTCCTGTTCAATCTGGTTCATCATCTCCGCCAACTCCTGTTCCGCCCGGTCAGCAGCCACGGCCCATTCAATCTTTGCAGTATCGCTGCGGTCCAGAATCTCGATAGCCTGCTCAATATCGTGCTGGGAAACCAATGTCCTCCCGTTCAATTCACCAAGTATGAACGTGCAAAGCCGATGGACGTGCTCAAAATTCCATATGTTGGGCCCAGCACTTGGAACAGCGCTGCCAAGCTCCTTCTCTGCCTCCAAGCCGACCAACACAGGCTCCATTGTTACCGACTGTCCGTTTTCCCCGCTCTTCCTGCGCAGTAAATCACCTAGATGTCGCAAGTTAATTTCCCGGCAACGGGCTGTCCTGTCGTCGCGATAGTCTGGATTTAGGGGATGGGCGGGCACGATAATAGTTCTCTCGAAGGAGCTACCGGATTGTAGTTGCGCTGTTAACAGACCCGACCTTGTGAGGTAGTTTTCAACCCCCTCCTCCGCTGACGACGTGCCGATGACTACTATGTTTTCCCCATTGCTTCGTCGTTTCAGTATCACCTCATAGAATATTCGGAGTATCGCCTGGCCAGAGCTGCTTCGCTCGAGCTCGCGAAAGTCCCGTACATGGATGATGGTTTTCCGATCAGGTGGCGCCTCTGGGGGCTCGGTATCACTAGTTGGTTGGCCTTTCGTTCGCTTGATCTGGTTTGCAGAAATCACGGATTCAAGAATGCTCCATATTTTTTGCTCATTCGCCCTCTCAATGGATCGCTCGGAAGCTTGTTCCGGATCCGGGGGAGCCGTAACAGCGAAAAGAGGAGATGCGAGCATTGGAATTTGTCCGGATCCTAATAACTGACCCCATTGGGACCAGTTCGCTGATACCCGCTGAGGAGGAACGAATGTTTCTTGCGGTTCAGCTTCCTCCTCATATTCCTCCTCCTCCTCCTCCCCCTCCGACTCTTCGGCCTCTTTATTCTCTTTTGGGGCAAAAATGTCGTACCCCAAAGAGCGGATGGAAAACGATGAAATCGGAGAAGAGGTCCCTAGAAAGCTCTTAGACTTTCCTGAAAAATCAAAAGGGAGAATATACCAACCCAACCGTGAGTCCCCAACGGATTCCCCAAGCAATTCCTCAAGATCTAGTGGGTCAATCCTGATCACATCAGCCCCCACGTCCTGAGCCACTTTGTTGACTATCGCATCCAATTGGTAGACACTCCCGCCAACAGGACTGTGAAGTATGCAATGCGATTTCATCGTAGCGAGGCTGTGAGATGACAAACGCTTTGGTGACGCTAATCCGGCTCGCAGAGTCGCTACAATTTCCCTCCATACATTCTCCTCCAGCAGGTACCGTGTCGGTATCTGTTTGTTTAGATGTTCAGGAGGAGTATCCGGTAGTGGACAATCTAGCGATGCTCCCGGTAGCGCCGAAGGAACGTGTTCCGATGGGCTGGAAGTGATGAAAGCTTTGGGACCGAGGGCAGCCTCATCCTCCAGCAATCTCACCCGCTGATCCACAAACCATCCAGGAACTTTCAACGGTAAAACCGCGTCATCCCTTGGTTTCATCGCTATTCGTCGCTTCGTACCTGCTGGCCTCCCTCGTGCTCGAGGCCGGCCGTTAGAATCTCCATTGCCCCCATCCCCTCCCGTATCGGTTGCGACAACCCTCTCCACCACCGGCTCCGTAGCGTAGACAGACTCCCCTTCCGGTGTGACTTGAATGCTCTCGCTTGTTCTCTGTGTTGGGTCTTGGGAAGCTGGGGCGCTCGCCTGTATTTCCCCGGTCCGCGATTCTCTGGCGGAAATCGGGGGAGTCTTTGAGCTATTGAACGCATTCCGGGAGAGGTGGAAGGGTCTTATCGTAGGAACGGAAGAGCTTGGTCGAAGACGATTATGCAGTAGTGCTCGTCCGGATAAGGCAACTAGGGACGATACCGCTCGACGGGCGATAGTCTGCATCACGATATCAGTGGAATTAATGGGGTTCTTGCTGAACTAGGTTGTTCCTGGAGAACGTTGTTTGAGCCTTTTTGGCAAAGGATGTTGCATCTATGATAGGATTTTTTTTTTTTTCCCTTCAAAGAAGCTTGACTGCTTGTGACATATGCTGCAGAACTCGGTTGCGCTATCTTACCTTATCTTATCAATCAATCAGTACCACTCTCCCGGGCCGGGGCTCAATGATTTTCCCGCGGGTCATGCGCCCCCTACGTCTGGGCTCGGGGGATATTCTGTGCGATATGAAGTATGCACGATATCATACGATGCCTCAAAGCCCAATTAAGCCCATAGAGTATTTGGGTTCCGGAATATATCATAGAGCGATGGTCAAAATACCGGCGGGTGTAGGCAAAAGTCTGGTGAACAAAACCCTCTTCAAGCTTCCAATATATCGCACCCTATTCTCCGGCCTCTCAGGAGCACCTCTGCTTAGAGTAATGTCACCCTTCGTTTGCTCCAATATTTCGCACACACAGCTTTGGTGCGAAAGGCAGAGATTTCCGCACGAAGAATTTAACGACAAATGGGAGGAGCAACTTATCGACTTCGACCCTGACCCGGCGAATAAACTTCCGAAGGGAATCTGTAAGCACACTGAATGATTCCTTTTGTTTTCCTACCCTCACTGGCACCCATCCTTTGTACCCCAGGGGCCCGAAGATCCGTTATCATCGTTCAAGTATGATACGATACTTAAAGAGGAGGAAGGAATGCTGTACGGTGCTGCCTTGTGGGTGCGCCCGGTCATTTGGGCGTAACAAATAAGCAAATCCCCAACTACCTCCATCCTATTTATTCCACTCAACTATCACCTCCCCATCGAAGCCCAAGGGCCATAACCTCTTGGGTCGTATGACAGATGGCACCTTGATCGGCAGGCGTGATTGGTCAGGGTAAAATAAACGTACTGCCTCTCATTCAACTCTCCCGGCGGTCATTCCTGTGGGAACCGTAAGGCGGCCCGAGAAACACGAGGGTAGCTCAACAGGCCCTCCAATTGCTTCTAGATATAAGGAATAGCGGAGTGAATTACAGCAGCATAATCGCCCTGATTGCGTATCCTACCGCATATCCTCACAAACAGGGAAAGTGTACTCGTACTGTACGTAATATAATTTCAAATAGGATACACTACTTTTTCATTTCAAAGAACTAATCAATCAACCAGATCAATGGCATATCGTGAACCACTATCTCTAAAGACCCGCTCTCTCACCCAACAATATGCTTGATATGCCCCTGGGATACCACCTCAAGTTGTGTGTGTGCTTGTAGTGCTGTACAGTGTCTACACCCTCGGGCTATCATTATCCGTGGCCACAGTCACAAGGTCACAATTAAAGACCGCAGTGGAATAGCGTGACTTTAATGCTCAGTGGACAGCAATCTACGATCTTTATTTCTCATGTCTTGCTGGGCAATGTTATGCCAACATCCCCAATTTTTGTTTGCAGAATTCTTTTGCTGTGGGCAGTACGAGCATGCAATACAGGTATAGCCAATGTATAACTAAGGAAGTGTTGGCGGCAATATGGCTGCTTTGCCATAACCACCACCACTTGAACTGACCTCACTTCCACGGCAATGCCACTAATCTTTCCAAACATGTAGTCGCTCTCAGTGGCTCAGCTCTGTATAATCTTAAGAACACTTCCTAAATAAGCCAGTCCTTAAGAGGTTTCGTTTATCATACAGTTCTGTTGATACTCTATTTCTAAGAATTTCGAAAATCAACACATCACTCACCATAGCCAATTTCAGGCTCACAGCAATCCGAGATCATACTGTAAAAACTTCCCGCAAGACTAGGTATAGATGTAGGATGTGCTCTTTCATGGCTCCTTAGCACCATTGGTTCATGGCTGATTGGGTATGTTTTTCCAGAGCCCACCCTCCTCATCCGCTTTAGTATTATGGTTAGTTACTAGAGTTTCACAGTGATGTGTACTTCGGGATGTGCTTGTTATGCCAGCCAAAAGTATATCGCAAGAACTTGTGAGAACTACAGCAGTAATCCAGTGGTGGCTAGAACAATGTTTTCCACAACCCCAGCTGTTGATATTCACTTCTAATTAGTGTTAGTCCATGGTCAGATTTCACAGGTTTCGTCTAGAACAATGGGGTATCTAGAACAATGGGGTATCCAGATCAATGGGGGGAGAGGTTGTATTCTTATTCTTATAAGAAACTTAATCGCAACAAACTTTCATAGGTGGTATTAACACTATTCGTTATTCAACTGATAGGGTTACTGCTAGTAATAAACTCTGCCTCTATTGTTGTCCAACCCCTTCTTTTCTCATCAAGTGACCGTGCCGGTAAGAGAAGTTTGGTTGGAGCTTGACGAGCTGGTGAATTATTTTCCATTGGGGTTTTCGGGAATCATTATCTTGATGCTCTCAATAATGGCTTAGCTCCTCATAAAAATAAAAAAAGTCAGCTCAAACGATACACCATCGCTCAATACTTGCCCTCTCCGCCTCTTTCCTCGTCTCCATAAAAAAACAAACACGGCAGGCAGGAGAGTGCCGGAAAACCCGGATCATGGTATTAGTGATACACTTGGCCAAGAGCCGTGGCATTGGAGACCTCAACACTGGCAGTTGTTTCTACGGTATGATACTTGGTGCTTGTATCATAGGTGCACATATCTTCTGAACCCCCCCCCCCCCAATCCTGTTTTCCCACTCTCCTCTTTCGTCATGCTGATTTACCAATTATCAGTTGTCCCGGTACGTCCGTTTTCCAGAGGTATCACGGGAATTGAAACCAACTCGGGCCCTTGAATCCATAAATAAAGATAGAGGGTATGGTAAACATTAATAATTGCAAGAATAAAGCCCTCCCTCCCCTACTACGGTAGTGGAGAGGAAATGTGCCAAGAACCTCTTTTATCATCGGTAAAGAGCCTCACAAGCAATCGGTCAACCATGATATGATACCATAAATTTTCCGCAGTCTGACACCGTGCAGACAACCCCCGCCAAGCACTACACTTCCAGAGGCGAGCCTTCCCCCCCCCCCCCCCACTCCAAGGATATGTAACCTATCATGACTCTGCGGCAGCGGGCACCTGAGCGAGGGGAAAAAAAAACCGTTCAATCACGAAAATTACTGTCATAGTCAGACGGTGACACATACATACTGGTACCATAGACTCTCTTCCGCCCTCTCTCCTATTCTTCGCTCTCTCGCCCACATTCCCTCACCCTTCCCCAAACTCAATTCACCGCAATGGCTCTCCGACACTCACCCCACAAATTATTGCGCACTTCGCTCATCCGAGCGCCGATTATCCGCGGTTTCGCTTCGGTTTCCAATCTTCCGAAACCTGTCAAGGATGAGATAGCGGTATGTTGCTGCCACTTATCGAGAGGGATGCCGAGAGGACTAATGATTCCACCAGCACGAGCAGTTATTGCCCAACTACGACCCGCCAGCCGACTCTGCTACTGGATCCCTGTTGGCTAAGCAAGAGCCCTATATGGTCAAGACCTATGTCCGTCCATCACAGATGTTTATCCGTGGGGTCGGGAGCGTGCTGTATGATGTGGAGAACAGGAAGTACATTGATTTCACGGCTGGGATTGCCGTGAATTCATTGGGTCATGGAGACGAGCACCTCTGCAACCTGATTTTTGACCAGGTTTGTTGAGTCCAGTTCCTGTCGGTATTCTGTGCCTTGCTGCCCTCGTTGCGGGGGAGTTAATTTGTGGGCGGGTGACCCTAGGCGAAACAAGTTATTCATACCTCGAACTTGTATCATAACCCTTGGACCGGAGAGCTAGCAGCGTTGCTTGTCAACAAAACTAAAGAGCACGGCGCATTCCACGATGCTTCACAGGTGTTTATTTGCAACTCTGGCTCGGAGGCGAATGAGGCAGCGCTCAAGTTTGCAAGAAAGGTTGGGAAAGCGATTGGCGGGGAAAAGAAGATCGGTGTAGTCTCATTCACCAACTCGTTCCATGGTAGAACTATGGGCGCACTTTCCGCTACACCTAATCCGAAGTACCAGAAGCCCTTTGCCCCAATGGTTCCGGGGTATACACACGGAGTTTACAATGACATTACCGGGATTAATGACTTGGTTACCGAGGAGACTTGTGGAGTCATTGTCGAGCCGATCCAGGGAGAGGGCGGCGTCAACGTTGGGTCTCCAGACTTTCTGATTGCATTGAGCAAGAGGTGCAGGGAGGTTGGAGCTGTGTTGATCTATGACGAGATCCAGGTATTATCACTTGGTAGCTGCAAATGCATAGTAACTAATACAATAGCAGTGCGGTTTGAGTAGAACTGGAGACCTTTGGGCTCACCAGTTCCTCCCCAAGGAGGCTCATCCCGATATCCTGACCATGGCTAAGGCTCTTGGTAACGGATTCCCCATTGGCGCAACAATGGTCAACAGCTTTGTTGGGGAAAAGATCGTGACGGGTGACCACGGAACCACCTTTGGCGGGAACCCATTAGCTTCCCGGGTCGGACATCACGTCTTCAGCAGGTTGTCGGAGCAATCTCTCCTTAAAGGTGTTAAAGCCAAGTCCGAGACGTTTGTAAAGCGGTTGACTGCGATTAAAGATAGATATCCGGAGGTAGCAACCGAGGTCCGGGGCAGGGGATTAATCCTTGGACTTCAGTTGACTAGAGATCCCGCAAGCTTGGTCAAGGAGGCTAGGGAACGGGGATTATTGATTATTACAGCTGGAACGAATACCGTCCGATTTGTCCCCCCATTGGTCATTGAGGAAGAGACTATAAGCGAAGGGCTGGATATTTTCGAAAAGGCGATGAAGGTTTTTGCAGAGAGTGGGAATATATAAATTGGAGACCCACGATTCTGGTTAACGTGCAGTGCGGAATAAAAGGGGTGGAGTTTTGTATCCAGAGTTTTCCTCTTGATAGTCACAGCAATGCCTGCACCGATGCAAGATGAAGCCTAGTGAAACGGCATGAAGAAATGATCATACTTCTTCTTGACAGGGTCAATTTGAGGTCCGGAGGCCAAAGGTTAAGAGCCCATCCGGCAAACCCCGAAAGGAAAGACAGCCGTTCCGTTTCGTGCCAATTTTACCTGTAGAAATGGTTGTCTCAGAAATTTTGTAACAGTTACTGAAGGCAATGGTCATTTGTATGGGGTAAGGGAACGGAATGGTCGCACCCAAACAGGCCCTAAACTTTGATGGATTCAAGGATGGATTCTACTCGCACGCCAACCCGTCCATCCGATGCATTCTGGAGACTTGACAGCCCCAGGTGTGCACTGCAGGCGGCAGAACGCAGTACCAGTACTGTGCTACTAACCTTGCCGGTACTTGTCAGCCAATGTGGTCTCAGCAGTTACCCGGCCCAATCCCTGCCCCTGCACATGGCATTATCATATGAAATCGTCACAGTGCGGCAAAACAAGAAACACTGATACTCAAACAGCCCCCCCCCCGGCCTCCAAAACAGGGTAAATCACAATATCAACACCGCTATCGCGTGAAACCGCAGACCCCCCGCTGTGCTCCTTAATCACGGATACCTCCAAATCATGCAAGGCATGCAGGGCCGTCGTCCGGCAATCCGGTCTCCTCACCGTGCTCCCCACCATGGACGATCCCCCTCATCCTCATCGACTTCCTCGACATCTTCTCAGTTGACAGCGACGAATCCGAACGCTTCGACCTCAACAATTAAATTGATCCCCCCGAGTACTCCCCCTGTAACGCAAACCTCACCTGTAGCAGCGGGAGTTCAAGGGTTTTTCGACCCGACCCTGATTCGCTCACAGTCTACACAACCGCAATTGCAAACACAACCCCCGTCACAGGTACCAGCAGCATACGCGATGCAGGCATCGCAGCGCAAGCGTTCTGCAACTGCCCCATCGCCGACATCACCACCACTCACTTCCTCCGCTATCTCCTCCGCAGCAGCAAGTGCCCCTTTCACCCGCGAATCTCCGCCCACCCCCCCGCCACACTCAATCCCGCACCCACCACCACCCGCACCCCAGCTGTCAAACTACACTCCTCCCCCCGCTAAGAAAGACTCTAAAATGAAGATCTTCTCGAAGCCAGCCCGAATAGGTACACCAACGCTGGATAAAGCGCTACGCCCACCTCCCAGTCCTAATAAATTGCCCGCAATCTCGTCACCAATGCCGCGGTTGACTCCTTCAGCTGCTGCAATCGCCGCAGCTCTGGGCGCTGGCGGGGAGCGGAAGGCGTCGTTTAGCTCTGTGTATAGTTCCTCCACTAGCACACTGATATCAGCGTCTACCCAGGACCTGCACTCTCAGTACGCGTCGTTCCAGGGGTATTCTTCTAGTCCTCCGGCGCAGCAGAAGGACCACTCGCATTCCCATAAGCCGCATTTCTTACGGCCAAGAAGGGATAAGGACCATACGTTCTCGTCCTCCGCGTCGAACAGCAAAGCCATTTCGGCGGACGGGTCATCGCTATACAGCTTTGGCCCATCCTCACCCAGCTCGGCGGTGTTTGGGAGCAGCTCGAAGGCGGATTTACAAAAGACTATTACTGGCATAGATATCGGGCCGAGGGGAAAGGGCGGGAAGGGGTTTACGGGTGGGGGCAGTTGGGATGATGCATTCCTAGAAGGATTCGGAGCCAGCGGGTCAGTCATTGGCCAGGACAATGCTTGGACGGTACTATGCAGCCGAGTGCTTGGTTTGTTCGACGGGGAGCCATTACGAAATACAGTTGAAGATTTGAACAAATTAGTAGTGTACGTCTCCCCCATTTCCCTCTCTCCCCAGCTAGCTAACCAATCTCCAGCCTCCACATAAAACGCTGCTACGACCGCTGCTCCTCGGTGCAACTATTAGACGATGTCCGCGACCTCCTAGACACCGGCATGCTGACACTAGACTCCACCCTACTCACCCTTCCAGACGAAAAACTCATTCCAAAACTGGTCGATATTTGGGGCTTCCTGTTTGGGAACATCCTCCCATACTTCGAAGCTGTCTTCCTCCCCCTCCAGCAGGAGTTCAAAGGCACCGGCACACTCTCCGCCAAAGAATCCAGTGAGTTCTTTGGCCTCATGCCGCGCTTTGACGTGAGGAGGCTGGTGTTGATCAGTTTTCGGGATAACGTTATATTACCGCTGCATGCCAGATTACGCAGTACGTCCCCGAGCGAGCTGGAGGGGCAGAGAGGAAGAATGAGGCAAATGGTCTCTAGCTAATTGGCGATATACTGTATAGTTCTATTCTCGAAACTCCAACTAGATTTTTCCGTCTCCCAGAGCGACATCACGCACAACGCCAGCCGGATGCTGCAGTGCATCAGCGTGCTTAGTAGCGTGTTAACGGAGAACGAGGCACAAAAGGCTATGGACGAGCTGGCCAAGACGCTCAAGCATAATTGGCTTACGAGGGGACGGACGGGAAGGAATAGGAGGGGATTTGTGGGGACCAAGACTATGAGGGTCGTTGTCTAGCTTTTACCTTTTTATTTTACGGGTTTGGGGGTTCTTTACAGTGGGGTTCGGGAGGGGCGGGACTAGGAACGGAGTGGGATTATGGTGGCGCTAGGTGTAGAATATCGTACTAGCGCTTTTTTTGCAATATACCCAATTATTCATTTGTCCATTCGAGGCCAGTAGAGTAAACTCGTCCCTTGACCCGTCATCTACCGGTAGGTCTACCCACCGTAGGAAACTACTAGTCATATCATAAAAATAAAATGAGTTATACAGCACATACTGTAAGGGTATGGTGATACAAACAGATATCGAGTGATAATCCATGGATTTTTGTTTCCCTTTCTTCTTTTCTTTTCTTTCTTTTTTTGTTTGTTCGTTTGTTTGTTACTTCGTGGGGTGATTGATGGAAGGGTGGTGGGGGTACAGTAGGTGGCTGGGTAGTACTTCGGTCCCGGGACGTGAAAGGAAGGAAGGAAGGAAGGAAGGAGGGGAGGAAGGAGGGGGAAAGGAAGTGAGAGCGGTAGACAGTGATGATCTTTCGATGGCTTGCATATACTTTCGTTGGGCATTCGTGATTGCGGTAGGGATGGGCTTTTGCGACTTTAGGGATGGGGTTGGTGTACGAACGCAGTACCGTGGATTGGGATACGGGGTCCAGCGATGGCTTTCGTTTTGGGCTGCGAGTCGAACGTGAAACTGCTAGTCTACCCCCACACACAATATCATAGCTGAGGGCGGTGGATGGCGGCAGTCAGTAGAGCAGTGGGGTGGACGGTGGTGGAATATTGTCATTGAAGCCCGGGTTATGATACGAGTATTATTACGATACAACGCCCTCTGTCGGCCTCTCCACCCAGAGGCACCTCCCTAGGGCAGCCCGGGCAGGTTTTCCCCCTTCTTCGTCCTCCCAAGTCCCTCCTTGCTGTAAAAATCCATCCGATACCCCCGTTCCTCATCCCAGTCCTCCTCTCGAAGTCCGAGCGCGATGGTGGCCTCGTACGGACTCAGCAAAGGTTTGGGGAATGCGTATCCCCAGTCGATGCTAAGTCTTGGACAGGCCACCTGCACCCAAGCGTCCACGTCCCCGAAGAGCCCCAGCTTACCAGGGAATATCTCGGATAATAGTAGCATTACGTATGGAATTTGCAACTCTTTTAGTCTGTTCTCTAGATTTGATAATGTGTTTGGGTTGCCCTGGCGGCCGAGGGTCCCTAGAATAAGTCCGAATTTCTTTGCCCGCTTGGCGGTGGAAATGGCGTCTCGGCGGAGGGTGTGGAGTTCTTGGTGGTTGTAGGTTTCCCGGGTGAACTTGCGGCTGTAGGGATCGTATCTGTATGCCGGGAGTTTGGGGTTCTGTATCATGGCGGATTCGAGGTGGAACCTGCCATCGCCGACGTAGACCAAGGCGTCCACCCCTCCTTCTTTTCCTGAGGAAGCTGAAGGGGGGATCCGCGGGGATGTGCACCCCAAAATCTCACCCTTTGATAGAGGGGCTATCTGTGGAATGGTGACTTTGAACCCTGCTCTCTCCAAATATTCCCTCGCTCCGTGGATCGCTGCGTTGAACTGGATGGTGGCCACTAGTGCTACGTGTTTCCCGGAGCAAAAGTTCCGCACCAGGGTGTCGGTGAGATGCTTTTCATCAATCCCTATCGTGACAAACACGTATAACGTCCTGATCTCCGTAACGTCCACGGGGATCAGGCAGGAATGGGCATAGTGCACGAGCAGGTCGCAGCCCAGAGCTCTCGCAGTGTAATCATCGATGCAGCAGGCGCCGTATGTAACGTCGCCCATGATAACGGTTTCGACACCAGAACAGAAGGTCTCTATGATGTCGGCGATCGTACAAGCGAACAGCAACAGGCCCTCCGGCATCTGTAGGGCCACACGGGTTGCGCCGTGCTTCCGGATGTTCCATATTGTCTTGTGGATCTCAAAGTTGTAGTTTTCGGGAAGGAGGGTGATGGCTTCCTTCAGGTCCTTGTCTTGCAGGATTTCCGGCGGTATCTGGCTCACTGCCCTAACCGTCCGCTGTGGCCTTGACGATACTGGTGCGATGGGGAAAGGGTGAGCAAGGGGTCAAGAAAAGATGAGGAAAAAAAATACGATAACGAAAATAAGCTCGTATGATCTTTAATAGGAAGCTTGATAGGGATATCGACTCACACTGGATTGCACTACCCTCTATGCCACCGACGTCCTTCCGCGCCCTCTTGAGCTCCACCGCAGTCTTATGGCCCACGTACCGTCTACCAGGTTGGATTGGAGTGGTCTTCTTAGCTGCCACAAGAGCTTCGAGCGTCGGTGCTTCGGTCTTATCTGTCATGGTCGAAACGCCGAACCCCAAAAATCCGGCCGACGGAGCGAGGACAATCGATCCACCAAAAGAACCAAAAGTGGCCAAGATGGGCGAAGAGGTGCCGGTACCTCCCCGCTACAGGATTTTTTTTCCCGGATCACACGTGGTAACCACGTAGGATTGGCAAGGTTGTGTGTGTATTTCTCCGGCCCTAGAGAGATGAGGCGATTGCGCGAGGGAGGGTACGGTAGATGATTAGAGAAAGTATGAGACGAGAAAGTGGGATGTGGGGCGATGGGGCCCGGGGCGCTGCGGGACCAGTGGGCTTCGGCAATGGTAGTGAAGGCCGGTGGTGGTGGTGGTGGTAGTGAAGGTCGGTGGTGGTGGTGGTGGTGGAGGGGGGAGTTCCGGTCGTTCGGGTGGTGAGTACTGTACTGTACGAGCACAGTACAATAGGGTGCTGTATTATTGCATCATAGTCTAGTGGGGAAAGAGTGGAAGCGATAAGGGGCAATTCCCGATGTGAAGCTCTCTTCCCCTCTATGATGCCCCTCCTCCCCCACCTCTGCCCCCTTCTGGCTGGGGAAGCTGTTTTCCCGTTGCCCAACTGCTGCCCTATGACGCTGGAGTAAGGCTGTTGAGCCACTTGCACCAACACACAGTTCCCCCATGATGCTGCACGAGTATCTGCTCGTGCAGGCCGGCCGGAGCTCCCCATCCGCCGTGCCGTTCGAGTGTGATGACATACCGTAGAAATCTTCCGAGACGGAGCCACTGACTGTCAGTTCACGAGATTACACAATCACACTGTCAAAATTTCATTCCCTCCTTGTCCTCCACGATACTCCTTCTGTCCTTGCCACGGCTATTGTAGGGTCTTAAGGATAAGAGAGATGTCCTTTCACCGATCCATCCTCCCAGAATCTGACTCCTCTTCTCCCCCCTTTCCTCCACACGAAACTTTTGCCTGTTCACCCCCGGCCAAATCACCCCAGATATTACAATTCGTACTGGCCCGTCCCCCCCATTGGGGCATACCCTATCACACAACAACACCGTATGCGAGACACAGCAAAATATGCATGGGCCCATCGATCTAAAAGTGTGGAAATTTTTGGTCTCACCGCTTGAGTGGTAGCGGTACCATGCGTGAACTTCTTGATGATTCAGCACGAGAGCCATTGGAGCTGAGAGGACCCGGGCTGTTATCGAGGAGAGATTGCGGTTATGAAGGAGGATAGTCAGCTCTTCTACGATTTGCAATCGTGCTGTAAACGCGCAAGAGATTCTCGGGCAGTTGAAGGGCAAGGCAAACAGTGCGTGGGTTGGGCGGCTACTGTAACACGAAGCGGGCTACGGGGATGAGTGTAAGGAAGTGATTGTTGGAGAGAAAGCATCGGGATGAGGCTCTGAGAGGGGGGAACAGGAGAAGAGGAAGATACAAGTCCCTGGCATGTACGGAGTGAACATAGGGGAGTGGCTTTGCCAAGGACTTTCAACTCCGGGAACCCCCGCTGTGTTCAGTCCGCTCGTGCCAGGGACCTGTACAATCACACCGCTCGAGCACGGCCATACGGCGCTGCTCTCGCACAGTACGAGTATCACTGTTGTCCCGCAGCCCCCCCCCTAAGCGAGGCCATCATCACATCTCGCCGGTGGTGTACTAGTACCGTACCGTATAGTAATAGTGCAGCTATTACTAAATTGAGGGAATAATCATGGGCAAAAGGGAAACATCCTGCCAATGAGCTTGGAGGAGACAGGGAAAAGAAAGCAATACGGCAGTGGGGCTCATCGTATCGTACCCGTACCGTACGGTACTCGTACATCACAAAGTGTTGAGAGATGTTGCATTGGCCTCTGCTCAGTCTCTGATCCTGTTGTATGTTTCGTCTCACAAACCTGGCAGGAATACCGGTACAGCACTTTGCGAGTACGAGTAGTCTACGGTGGTCTCCCGGTCTTGGTATGGCAGCCCCAACGTCTTCAGGCAGCAGCTTCGCAACAACCGCCATCCGGCAGCCGCTACTGTAAACACAACCGAGCCTACCGTATTTATCACATCGTAGCTGGCAACCAGAACCCCCAAACACTCTCGACAACCCTTTTCATCCGTCCCCTCCACCCCTTCTCCACTGTCACTGGCCGAGCAGCCAAGATCACGGGCACCGAGTAAACCTCAGATACACTCGCCTTCCATCTTTATCCCCAGTTCCTCCTGCCCGCGACCTCCCCCGGTCGCACGAAGGACCCCCCCTCCCTCTGGTTGGTGGAGCACCGGGATACCGGGAAATCGAGTGATAGCGAGAAGAATAGGGGGAAGACCATCGCTGGACCACCGTCCTTCTTGGGTAAGTATTATCATTATTATTTTCCTTCTCCATAGGGAAGTGGGAGGGGTTGGAAATTCTCGCGGACCCTGACGATATCCAGCTCCAAGGGGGGATGCGGTGCTGTCCGTGTCTCCACGCCGCTCCTTTCATCCGCATCCCTATCAGCCAACAGCCCACACACGCTCTTTCACACACCCCACCATTGCTCCCTTATCGTGCCTGATCGATACGGTACCGTGTCTGTTTTCCCGTTGCGATAACTGGAAGCTACTTGTGCGGCACTGTATCCCATCCGCGTACCAGGATCTTTGGGAAGGAAGAGGGTGCAGTCCCTGCAGTAGGAAGAGTGTCCCATCCCCTTTTGCGGGAATACACAGGGTTGCACAGCACCATTATCGACTGCTGCTATCATACCTGTGCTGCATCGTACCCGTAGGCTATTGCACTGCGGGAACCATCCCTGCCGTTGCTATTTTGGCCACCTGCTCGAGAGCTTCTAGAATTTCGTCAAAGGCCGAAGGACGCATCCACCGTTACCTAATCGCGGGGATGGTGAATAACGTGTTTCGTACGGGGTCCTTGCGCCCTTATTATGCCCGCCGTTTCCACCCCTCATTCTCTCCCTTTCGTTCACTCAAGCCGCACATCTCCAAATCAAAGCACAAGCTGCAACAACTCTCCTTTTTCCCCCGCCCGCGGCACATCTGCTATCAGCATTCACGGAATTTCTCTTATTCCCACGCTCCTTCGCACCTTAGATCGACATCTAGAAGATTCACCACCACCACAGGAACCACCCCCACCACCTCTTCCCCCACCACCAAAACCGGTGCCCGCACTTCTGCAATTAAACATACCCCCACAAACAATACTACCGGAAAATACACACACAAGATGACTGTCGACCATCCTTTGTCCAAGCTTTCCAGCGTCGTGAAGATCGTTGAAGTTGGAGCGCGAGATGGGCTCCAGAACGAAAAGGGAACAGTGCCCACAAACACTAAAATCGAGCTCCTGGAGAGATTGAGCTCGGCAGGCTTGACGCATATTGAAGCTGGTAGCTTCGTTAGGTATTTTATCCCTATCCTTCGAGCCTTTTGGCAGCGACCGTGGGCTGACCCGGAAAAGCCCGAAATGGGTGCCACAGATGGCGGACACGCCCGAAATCATCAAACACCTTCGCTCAAACCCACCAGCCGCACCGGCAGGCGTAACATACTCGTACCTCACGCCCAACATGAAGGGCCTCACAGACTTCATCAACCACTCCACCTCAAACACTGGGGTATCCGTCTCGGAACATGCGTCTGAGATCGCCATCTTCGGCTCCGCATCCGAGGCTTTCTCGCAGAAGAACATCAACTGCTCCATCGCCGAGTCCCTCGAGCGATTCCGGCCTGTCGCACGGAAGGCTTTGGAGAGCGGCATCAGGGTCCGCGGCTATGTGTCCATGATCATTGGGTGCCCCTATGACGGTTCTACATCACCCATGAAGGTAGCCGAGGTGGTGGAGGGCCTCTTGGACCTTGGCTGCTACGAGGTATCCCTCGGTGATACCAACGGTGTCGGCACCCCCGGCACTATCGGAACGCTGGTGAACTACCTGATCAAGGACCGTGGCATCCCCGCCGGGAGGTTGGCGGCGCACTTCCACGATACATACGGCCAGGCAATTGTGAACTGCCTGGTGGCTCTGGAAGCCGGGATCAGGACATTCGACAGCAGCGTGGCAGGTCTGGGGGGCTGTCCGTACAGCAAGGGCGCTACTGGAAACGTTGCGACGGAAGACCTGGTCTATTTGTTTGTCTCCCCTTCCATTCCATCTTCCGCCTTTGGCTAAGCCAATGCTAACATGCCCCAAATAGCCTGGAAGGAACTGGCGTCAAGACCAACGTGGACATGGACAAGATTGTCGAAATTGGCGACTGGATCTCCAGGAAACTCGGCCGCAAGAACGAGTCAAAGGTCGGAACTGCCTTGATGGCGCGCAGACGGAGCGATGGGAGCAGGTTATAGAACGAAACGAGCAAAACAAAACGAAAAAAAAAGACTTTCCGTTATCCAGCATTCTTTTTTCCTCATTCCCTAATATATTTTTTCCTCGCCCCTCCTCCCTTAAACGACCGCTGGCTAGGAGCCCAACGACACACGATATCTTCATAATAATCGCTCCCGTCCAAAAAGCTGAGCCGGCACGCATTCTTTCTTCATTGGAGGAGCGGTGTTATTGATTTTAGAAAGAACATCCCAATTCTTACCAATCCTTTTTTTTTTTTGTGGGTTTAGCGTTTTCCTCTTTATTCCTCCTGGGCGTCGAATGGTGTTTTTCCGATTTTCGTTTTTTTTTTTTTTGTATCCCAAGCTTCTCTGTCTTGAAGGGAGAGAGGTAGTGGTACCCACCCATCTACCTGACTTGTAGAATGCGACAATGCCGGTGAACGAGAGTGTACGAACGAAGGGGAAGGAAAAGTTTTGTGGATTTTTTTCCACATTTTTTATTTTTATCTTTTATTTTTTACATACCGGTATTCCTGTATCTCACTCGGGCATCAATATCTGTCTATACTTTCTTTGGTGACGTTAGACTTTTTTCTATCTCTTTGGGTTATTGATGTGTCTAGATGGATGACTTGGGGATGGGCGGATGGGGCTGGTATTGAGAGGGGGGACTAGGAAATACGACATACGCTCCTTCAATTTTTCCGGTTCCTTCGGAGATGTGATGTGCGCTGCAATTGTGGATGCGTGGTTTTGGTGATGATGCAGAGTAGGGACAATTTCAATGTTCTCTCGCGACTTGATGAACCGTAGATCTCAAGTGATGATGGACTCATTTGTTCTCAGAAAAGGCAAAAAGGTAATAAGACCATGTGTGAGGGTGAGACAGCTGCTTTACTGTACGATTGAGAGATCAACAGTGGAGCACATGAAGACAACTCCGAAGCCCCCATCCATAGCCTGCCCGGAGGGGGTAGCAGTGCGCCGGTATTTACTTGAATTGAGCCGAACCGGGCCCGTTTCAATTCATTACAATATAGTGCCGCCACAACATAGCATAGCGCAGCGTTCTTCCACCCCTCCCTCCATCAATCCCTTCTACTCGCCCAAACTTCTTGAGACGACCCCGTCCCGTCCCGTCCCCCCCGTACCTTTCAAAAATCGCTAACCCTCCCATTAAATGCCCAATCCCCATACCTCAACGGGTCGTTCTTCGGTCCACCCCGCTCTCCTGTCTTCGGGTTAAGATCCCCTTCAAACTCCGGCTTTGCCCCACGCCTTACATCCGGGTGCAGCATGTCTTCCGCCGTCGCGTCAGCCATCGCCGGGGCGGCGGAAGAGGTGGAAGTCTTGAAGGAGTCACGCGCAGCTTTTTGGAGAGCTTCAAACTCCCTTTGGGCTTCCGGGGGAAGGCGGGGGGGCGAGGGGGTCGGTCCCAGGGCGCTATATGGTCGGGTTGTCGGGATGGCGAGGAGGGAGCGACGGCGAAGGAGGTGAGTGCAGGAGAGCATTCGTTTTTAGTTTGGTCGAGTCTTTGTACGGTGGTGGCAGCAGCAGAGTTGTACTCGTAGAATTTCGTTTGAGTGATGGTGATGGCGAGGGGCTGGATGGAATGAGGTTCGTGTCGGAATGACCGTCTGCTGTCGGATGTTCGGGTTGGCCTTCTGTTATCTTCGCTACCGGTAACTTACCGGTAACCTATCGACCTGTGTGCTGGAAAAGCGGATAAATGTTGTTCCGGTTTTGGCGTGATTTGGATCATTGAAGGTTTCTATAACGCGCGAGTCCCCCTCGTATGGTCTACCAAATCCCCATCCAACAACAACAAAAACCTCCTCAATCCAATCCAACCCAATCCGCCGATTCCCCGATAATCAAGAATCCACCGACCCAAGGATGCGAGCTTACTTTCAACAAACTCTATGACACACTATATATCCACCTTTCCCCGCCACAAATATTTTCCTCAACTGTGGAGCAAAAGGAGAGGGGGGAATGTCCTCCCAAGAAACAGGGCAAGCCAAAAGCTCTCAAGCCCCCCCCCCCCCCCACCGCCACAGACTTATTCCCTACAGAGCGATGCATGACGTTTATCATACTCCCGCCCCGCATCGCCGGCGGCCAACGGAGAAAAAGTCCTAATCACCGAAGTGGGGTGTGTGGGAGTGGTCCTGCAGTAAGGGGTTCCTCCACCTCATCCCGTTTTTTTTTCGGCGTTAAGAACGGTTTGGTGGTGGTGGGGGTGGTGGGAGGTTCTGCGGTGTATATATGTGTATGTATGATATATACTATCTTTTCCCCTGCCATTCTAGAAGTTTCCCCCGCAGAAAAAGAGGAAGAGAGAGAGAGAGAGAGAATATGGGGAAGGTGTATCGAGCACAATGAGGTATTTTCAATAACGGGGCTGGTATGATACGGAATAGGCTGTTGGGTAAACTATTATCTACATGGTGTATCATAGCACACCCGTATATGTAACAGCAGAGTTGATCTCACTGGCTTTATAATATCGTACGTTGGATACCGTACCACGAGCTCGATTTCTCGTATCATGGTATCATATTTATATTATACAGCATGTTGATATCATAATCATTATTATTTTTTTCCCCCAGTTCCTGGATGTCTGTTGGTCTAGATCTGATAATCACCGAAGCAAGTATCGTGTGCAATACTATCTAACTTATCGTAAGTCAACCAAGCAATAAACAAACGGTAAAAATGGTAATAGAAATCAAATTATCTATGTATGTATGGCGCCTTCCCATCTTGCATAAGTTGGTTGGTTGGTTGGTTAGATAGGATTCTGTAAATTACGGGACTAGATAGAGAAACTTTCGTAAGGGACCAACCTCCTCCTCCCCACCCATGCATGACAGTACAGTAGAACGGGCTTAACCGCTCCCGGGATAAAGCCCAAATCATCATACCAAGAACTCATCTGCTCCGCCTGCCGAGGGGGGATATTCCTACAAGTCTGAGGAGGGGTCAAGACAGGAATTCATCCTCCCACTTATTCAGATCAGAGCTACAATGGCCGGTCTTTTGAAAAAAAAAGCCAAGAATTCAGTATTATCTATCTTATGATAACTCGGGTGCCGTATCGGATTCTGGGATTTCCCATGGAAGGAGCTGGGATTTTTTTTTTCTTCGTCTTCTGATCGGTGGATTGACGGGGTGTTGTGGTACTGTGCCGTGCAAGGGTCCGCCTGTGTCACGGAGATGGTTACAAATTACTTGGCCAAGTGTTAGCGATGGAGGGGGTACGATGCTTTTTTGCGAGCGCTGTTCGGCGCTTGGTGGTCTTGATGTGGCTAGGGGACACGCCAGATCTCACAAGATATCACTCGGAAAGAGTAATATCGATTGGGGTATTCCTTGTTTTGGAGGATCAAGGTGTCTATGTGGGATTCTATTCGCTGCATGGTATAGAGCTCAATTTATATAGGAAATTATCCATTATCCCACTGATACTAAACCAGGGCCCCCAAATATCCAACCACCAAATCCTCAAAGGTTATCAGATTTCTCCCCTCCCCCCCTCCCTTCCCTTCCTCCTAACTTCCTCCTCCTCTCTCCCGAGTTTCCTCTCCAACTCCCTCTCAGCCCTCTCCAGGGCACTGCTAATCTCCCCATCCACATCATCACTCCCCCTACCTTTCTCATCATGCTCCTTCCTCTCCCTCTCATCCTGCTCATCCTTCAGTTCGAGCATCCTCAAAATCTCTTCTTCCCTGCTGACTTCACCAGCATCCACATCATGACCAAAGATTTCTTTCAAGATTACTCCCACCACATGACGGTACTTCAGATGACCCTCAACCCGGTTCCCAGCATCAAAGTTCTCAATGCCAGAGACTTTAACGGGTTGAAGCCCTGCAATTCCCAATTGCACAGAACTTGTCCTGTACAGGAACCCGAGGATGTAGTCTTTCTCCGAGTATACGTTGACTACCCTACCGGCTACGACGGCTCTCACAGCAATCCATGTGTTTCCAGAGCTAGGGACTGGCGCACCCATCAGGACCACGTTCTCTACCAGTCCGTATGCGCCTCTCTCTGCAAGGGATTGGAGACAGTAGTATATCACCCTCGCTCCCAGTGAGAACCCAATCAACGTTACTGGCCGCTCTCCTTGGGCCTTGTTGATAATCGCATCAGCGAGCACTCGACCAGCTTTCTCGGAGCGATGTTTGGCAATGCTGAATGGATTATCAATCACCCGCGCCGCACGAAGCAAGGCAACTGGCCATATAGCAGCCCAGAGAGGTGCGAGAACGGTTCTCTTGATGATCTCGAGTTTTATGTAGGACCATGCATAAGACTTTAGAACTTCCTGAAGGGAGGTGCCGAGGTCTAGTAAAGCCTCCATTTCCCAGCGGAGGGAGTAGACCTCAGAGTTTCCATTCAGGGCTTTCCATGGGAGAGTCACCTCGTCGGGGTTTGTCAGCCAGCCGGTTATGCCGATCGTCACGCGGAGGCGGGAATCGCTGTTCCGGAGGGGGACGAAGGCAAAGTCTTTCACTTCTGCTGCGTATCTAAGCACTATAAGCTCCTGCACTCGGGACGCGGTTTGCACAAGGGGGTATATACCGCTTAGCCATTTCTCCCGTCATCTTCGCCCCGTATGCCCCAAAAAGCGCCCCCATAATCGCTCCGCTCCCAGCAACAGCACCCAAACACCCTGTGACCGCAGCACTTAATCCCAAACCACTCAATAACCCCCCAATACCCGCAGCAACAAAAGGTGCTGCCAACCCCCCAGTAACCCCAATAACCGCAGCCCCCGCAACTGAGGCCAACCCAACCTTCCATCTCCTCGAAAACTTCGCCTCATTTGCACGTTTCTTAGACTCGGCATCAGCGTTCATCTGCTTCGACACGGCAATCAACGTCTTTGCGATCTCACTCTCCAGCGCGATAACCACGTCCGCTGGGACCCGCAGCGACGACGCAACTATTAATAAAAAAGTACGTGAGCGGGCATCGTACTTCCCCAATGAAAGCAAATGGAGGAGAACAGCCTGAACTACCAGCCCTGCGGAGTGGAGTGAGAGCGGGGATGTGAGGGGTGCAGGCACAGGCTTGTATATTTCCGGCCACTTGAGGACCTGTCCTTGGGGTCCCCGGTTGGCATTCGTAGATCTAGGACTACCCGGGGCGTTCAGTGCTTCACCAATACGGCGGAGGACATTAAAGGCCCATTCGTCGTGCGAGGCAAGGGCTTTTCGGCGGAGGTCGCGGAGTTTAGGGGTTGTAGTGCGCTTAGGTATAGGTCTCTTTCCTGAGGGGTTTTTCCCCTCTGCTCCTGCGGCTGCCAGTGGTGGTACTGGGGGAGGAGTCGCCACATCAGGAGTCTTTGGAAGTTGGGCACCCTCTGCATCAACTTGTTTCGGAGTGGCTTCAGGAAAGTGCTCTATCGGCTCCGGTGCAAGCATTTGTAGTTCTCCATCGGAGTCTTCATCACCATCGTGCACTAAGCGTAGTACTTTGGATTCATCCCCCGAGCCACCCTCGAAATTTCCTCCTGGGGGATTGATCTGAGATTCCATTCCAGAGCTGGCATCCGAGATGGAAAGCTCCCCGATCCGCGATGGCAAGTCCTCCTCCTCTAAAGGGTTCCTGCTCAAGCTCTCCATTTTCGCGGCTTTCTTCCGTGCTGGAGGCTGTGCAGGTGTGTGTTCCATTGGTTCTGGTAGCGCATCTTCCGTCTCCCAATCTCTCCTCTCCCCATCCCTTACATCTCGTCCACTACCCCCTACCTTCACCTCTCCAAAACCTAACAAGTCCCCAATTTCATCCCCCTTCTCCTCTCCCACTCCCGGCTTCCGCACCTCTTTTTCACCAACTCCCTTCAGTGCTTCCCCCTGCTCAACAGCTTCAAACACCTCCCCAATACTCTTTCTCATTCTCTCGGTAATCGTGCTCGCCAATATCATGAATTCTCCGCATTGCTCGGTGGAGAGTAAGTGCACCAGGTCCTGCCCTTCTGTACTGCTGCCATTATTTGTTCGCCGGCCGCTCATCCTGCTATTGCTTATGATGATGGATATTGGAGAGTTTTGAGGGAGGTAAATGATTGTCAGAGATGGGTAAGGTTGACAAGATGCGCCGGTAGCCGGGGTAAGCATGGATGTGGTTGCCGTAGCCTCATCCGGTGAGGTGTGAATTTGACAACGGATGTTGTGCGACGGGAGTACGGGTAGATTAGGGCTCCCGCCGTCACCGCCGGGAATGATTGGCCAGGTGGACGAGTTAGAATTTCTGTAGCATTGATTGGCTAGACGGGTGGGAACATCTGTGATTAAACGCAGGGTATCGCTCGTGGGCGCTTCTGAATATCGCGATTCTCGGTGTGTTTATATATTTCGATGCTTCCCGGGTTGTTCAACTGTTTCTTTACTCGAGTACGGTTGCTATGCGATTAGGACTATTATCCCTTCCCAGGTTACACTTCCTTGAGCAAAAGGTTATCAGGACCCTTGGTCCCGATCCTCATTTTCTCAAAACCCAGCAGCCAGGTTCTATTACCAAAGCTCTCCGTAAAGTGGCCACCACTTGACACAGATACTGTTATAGAATTAAGGATGCACACCTACATTCTTAAGGGCCCGAGCTCATTGCGGTTGGAGTTTTTGATCCCTTAACCTACCTCATTTAATAACCCATTCTCTACAACATCCCAAACGGGGAAATGCGGAGAATGTCTCAGTGCCGCATCAACGACAATACCAATTCCTTAAATCTGTCTAACCAGTGGAATAACTGTAGTGTCGCCGCCGGGGGGGGCGAAATTCTAGCACGGTCACCCTCCGCCAGAACCCAGAGACGGGGTCAAGGTCGATAAGGTGAGTGGCTATTATAGCTCCTCTGAAACGGGAATACTGGAGTGCAGTATTGGTTTGTTGCATATATAAGGTAAAAGAGGATGTCCTCGCGGAAGGATATTCCTTACAAACCATGATGTTTTTCTCCCCAGTTATAGGCATCCTATGAGAACAGGCCAGAGGACACAAAATACTACTGTTGCGTGCTTTACTTTGATCTTGCCACACTGAGGGTACGGCACCCGACCAGTATGTTTGGTCTATTGGTGAAACAGGTTACTGGTGGATTGGAAAAGATAGTTCACACCCTCAGAGACCAGGAGGCCATTTTTTGGGCGGCGGCTGGGGATTCCCCAAGATCCTGGGAGTTGTACAATCCATCTTCTCACCTCAATTTACATTGATGTGTTCATGTTTTGGACGAATATGCAGCAAGGGATCAACTCAAGCTTTTTGATCCACGAAGAAGCATAAGTCACTCCAGAACTCGCCATGAATCTCGATATTCCTAGCCGGAAGACTACATATGCAGTGTGAAATCAAGAAGCATCTTTCTGGAACAACAGTGATTGCACATAACCTCCGGTAAAAACGACGTATGGTAGGATACACCTACTAGAGACAACTTGAGGGCATAGCGCCAGACCAGCAGATAACAGGTTGAACTCAGACGTTTGAAAAAGAAAAAAAAAATCCCTAAACCGTTTTAGAGGTGTAGAAGCCACAATACGATCAACCCCACCTTAAGTTATCAGTCGACAGATGTACGTCTAGACTCCCACCGGTTTCCCCAAACCTCGAGGCAACCACACAAGTAAAAGTAGTCCACCGCAAGCGGCAAAAACGCTCCGCATGGTAACTGGTGACTTGAGTTTAGGCGATACGGACAGGACAGTGTTGATATAACGCCTGGACGGGTAAAGGTGGGGAGAAGGCAAGATTCGGGATCACCACTTTGATATGCCCTCCCATTCAGGACTGCCGCTGTACTCGAGTACCAGGCCCTAGAGATCGAAACAGGATCAACCGATCTCACTACTGACAAATTGCCGTCGGGAGCTTGTGGGTGTACATAAGGAGACATCGTCCAGTTGCTCGCTCGGGAAGACCTGTGGCGGCTATTTCTAGTATCACACTCAGCTTGCGCTCTTCTCTCCCCGGCGTTTCGAGGATCAAGTTTGACATTTTCCTACACAAGATAGATGGTTCGCTCTTGAAGAGCTATATCCCCCTTTTTTCTTTTCTTTTACTCCGCGGTATCCCTGCTCACTATCATACCTTTTGTCCACTGCTTTTTCAGGCTATTAGATTCTATGTCCCTCTCCCCTTGCCTAATGATGGAATAGAATAAACCTTTTACACAATGGTACACCGCCACACTACACGCAAGAAATTCTCAGTAAAGAGCTTTGAGTCCCGAGCGTTCTATATCATAGCATAGAATAGAGGGGAATAAAACGATACACCAAATGACCTTATCCCAGAATCTCCACACCCCACACTTTTACCCTCCAACTTAAAAAAAGTTCCCTAAATCAGGAGTACACAGCCTGAGCCGGCGGGAGCTGTATTCGAAATCATCTATCATACAATAGCATACCAGATTTAACACAAAAATCAACTACAAACACCAAACCCCTTCAACCGGAAGAAAAAAAACTTGAACAAAAAGGTTCTCACCAGGACTGATATTCAAGTTAATGCTTCCATCTCTCCTTCTCCACTATGATATGATACTTCAAAACAAGAAACGGTAGTGGAATCACCATACCCTTACAAACTACCGTACTCCACAACTTAAATTTTGCTGCGGTAAGACAAGGGCTATCTTGTCCACTTTCCCACGGTATGTAGGATACCGTAATCTAGTAGATTCCTGACAAGGATACTCGAGTATAGTACCTTCACCTCCTTTACAGCTTCATATATAAAAAAAAGACAAATGAATGTACAAATGGCCATCACATCAGTAACCAATCCACTGGACTATAACCCCCTCCCCCCCCCACCCACACACACACAAAATCTCATGTATGATAGATAAACAGTCACAAGGGGTACACACAACGCAGTATCATACAAATCAACCAGCAACGCCCCCCACTCCCAAGGCATTAATCATCATCCCACCCCCGCAAGCACTCGCTCACTCGTTTTACGAGTAAAAAAAAGATTTACTTCCTTTCCTTCAAGTCGTACGAGTACTTCCACCCAGCAAGACAAGTCCAAGACGTGATAATGGCCGTTTCAAAAGCGGTGCTTTCCAGATGGTGCAGTGCACGCTAACCCTACAACCTCAACCCCCCCCCCCCCCCATGCAACCCGGTAAATCGATCGATCGATCGAAACGAAGGCCTAGCACGCCGGAAGGGGAAGATTTTCTGATTATCGTTCTTACGACATGGGTTAGCGAACAGTCCTGCATGCATACATATATACATACATACATATAATATCATACATCTTCCGGAGCGGAGAGAGTACTCGTACAGTGCTATGGCTGGCGAGGGAGGAAGCAGGTATGATGTGTGATAATACCCAACCTAACGTCACTAGCTATGATATGATACTTAAGCTCAGGTGTGTTGTGTGACAAGTGTATTTAATGGGGGGGGGGGCACACGTTATCACTGTTGTGGACTTGCCCCCTTGGTTGACTCCCTTCGCCAGACCAAAAACTTACGCGGATAATCATTGGCCCACAAGTCCTCTTGGCATTCCCTGCCGAGACCGCCACACATCCACACCGAGTGAGACCTGAACCTTTACGCGGCACATTCAAATAACCCAAATCAATACCATACTGGCATTGTACCGTAAACTTGGGCAATGACGCAACAGCCACCGAAAGCAATCGGAGACTAGCAGCAGAATAATTTATCCCCGAGAAAGAAGAAAATGCCTTTTTATAGCATACAATACACCCCAACCGTCTGATGCAACGCTAAACTAAAAAATAAAAATAAAAACAAAAGAAACCCAGTCTTGACCACAGAATCCAAGATATACAAGCAACAAAAAAAGGGGCAAATAAAAACGAGCAGAGGACAAAAATTTCTTGGGTCCGGCTCGCTCGGGAATACACACAACGTAGAAATTGAATCGATGCACACACACCTCTGTGAACTGAGGACAGAAAAATGTAGAGAACCCGTGCGAGCCCGGAAATCCGCCTCATCAAAACCCAACGATGAGCATCAAGCCATAGCCCACTGAAACGACGATTAGAAACGAGAACACGCTGCTCGGGATACCCCGACTGATAAAGTGCTGGACCCTCAAGTATCGTTGACCCGTCTGTGAATTCTCCATCATGATCGCCGCTTTTCTCCAAGTCAGCATACAAATAACTAACCCAAAAGGACAAGAATGTACACACTCATATTAGGGAAGCCAGAGGTGGGGAGGCCCATTGCAGCAGAGCACATCAAAGCCGCGCCCTATCCAATCAGTTACTTCATCGAGCTCTTGATAGGTGATGGGAATCATGACGAGACATACCATAACGAGCAAGTTCGGGTGTGGGTCTTCCATGCTTGCGCCAACCTGGGCAACAATTGGCAGAATAATCAGTGCGGCAACAGTATGGCTGATAAACGTTGCGATGACCAAGATCAGGGCGCAAAACACGACGAGCACTCCATAAAGACCCATACCCTGTGTCTCCTCCTTGATAGCCTGTGCGATGGTATGCAAGAGCCCCGAACTGTTTACAGCTTTGCCCAAGGCTAGCCCACCAGCGGCAAGGATTATGATGGTCCACAGGAAATTGTTGAAATCTTCCTTGGTGAGGATGCCGGTTCCGAAGAAGAGGACAAGGGGAATAATGGCAACAACACCCATATCCCCAAACACATACTCAAGCTGATGTGAGAAACACCACAGAATGATGGTTGCAATGGTGACAAAGGATATAAAGTATTGCACACCAGAAAATTTGTCCTTCACAGGTCGGATAGGAACAATGGTTGTTCCCCTGCCAGGGTTGAACGATATCAAGAGTAATACCCATATCACGAGAACAGACAAAACACAGACCGGCAATGCCACAAAGAACCAAGCGCCCCAGCTAGGAGCTGGTCGCATGTTCTGCAAAGCAATAATATTCTGTGGACTCGCGATCGGTGAGGCCATACCACCAATGTTTGACGCTAAAGCAATACCCAAGATGAGCGCTTTGGAGAACCTGGATTCCGAAGGCAGGTTCCTCAGCATAGGCTAAAGTCCAAACCAGTCAGCATGAATACCCAAAGCAGACCAGGGGGTTCAAGGGCGATTACTTGAATGATAGAAAAGCACAAAACTGGAGCTGCAACATTACTAATCCACATGCTCGCGAACATAGCCACAAACATGTTAGTCAACAGAACGGTCCTGGGCTTAGTCCCGGCTTTGCTTAATACGACGGTGGCTAGCATCTTTGCAATCCCGTACTTGCTCAAGGCGGCAGCAATCGCAAATCCGCCGAGTAGCAACATAATTACAGGGGTCCACATGGCCGAGAAAATATATCTGGTAGCTTCCTTCGTCTCCAGTCGAAGATGCGGCTTCTGGTCCGAGCGCGCAACCCCAAGAAGAACCACCAAGAACGGAACAAGAAGCGATGTCACAAAGAGCGGGATAACCTAAAAGTAAATAAATTAACACCCAACCCCATTATACCCCTAGCCTTCAGTAGATAAAATACCTCAGTAGCCCATAGGAGGGACACAAACACTAGCATCGCGAGGCAATTCTGCTGCTCCGGCGAAGGGAATATGGGGACGAGCAATAGGAGCGTGAAAACGAGCAAAACCACCATAAGAACGAAGAATCCGCCACTAAACACCCAAGTAGAATACTTTATCCTTCCAACTGGTGTCTCCAATTCCTTGGTTGTAGATACCTCAGGCTCGTCACCCGTTAGCCGCGACCTTGTTGGATCCGTGGTATCGCCAAGCAACGTCCGTCGAATTCCCATATTGGCGGCCTGGGCTTTCCTCTCAATACCAATCATCTCCCTCCATACCGTATTACGCTCCCAAACAACGTGTTCACGAAGATGCAATCGAAGCTCTCGTTTCGCCGCATCCAAGTCCGCACCCGTGACAAGCGATGCATATATTTCCTCGACTTTTCCAATAGCCTTGTCCAGCTCTGCTGTGGTTTCGGGTCGGAAGCAATAGCAGGGCTCCACCACACTCTGCATATACTGTGACTTGAGACTCCTGTTGAGAATCTTGTCGTATTTCTTCAACGCTTTCACAAACCCAGTCCGATTGAGCTGAACGAAACTCTTCAGCTCTCTCAGTGCAACGAATAACGAAGTAGCCCGTTTCTTCAGCATAACTCGTTTGTCGCACAAGTCACTTACAGCATATCCGTGATATTCATCAAAGTTTTGTGATGCGCGTCGCTGAAATAATCCACCGTCCGATGCATGACTAGTGTGTGAGCCCTCCATATTGCTACCCCGACCCTTACCCCTCTTCAGCTTGGACAACAATGCAGCCCCAGGTCCAGATTGATGCTCCTCTTCCCCCTCATCATCATCCGTTTCATCTTCTCGATCGGTGGGCTCATCAAGACTGCTCCTCGTTCGCAAGATTCCACTCAGGCCGCCTAAACTGTGCCTCCTCCTGCTGCCCTCCCCACTAAGTTGGGGATCGGTCACACTCTCGGCATCCCTCCCTTCCTCGAAGGTCTTGGCGTCCGTAGAAAGTTCGTAGACCTCCCGGAGAAGCTCATCCTCCTTAAGATTATAGAAAGAGGAGATTTTCTCAAGCTCATGGTCGAGTGTCCGTCGATAAACCAAATCCGTATCGACAGCAGGCTCCCTCGCAATGAGGGCGGAGGCCTCGGTGTCATCTCGCGAGCTAGCTCGGACGACACTCTTCTCCAGCTGGTAGATGCTGCTCAGGGGGTCAGTCGAAAATCTCAGACCCCAGAAAAACAACGAAGGGGAAGCAAGGGGAAACAGCAAAGGAGAACAAACATCTTTTTCAAATTTGAATAGGCAATGTAGTGCGAGCTCCAGTCAGGCACGGCATTGAACTGGATGCTATGAGAGAACTTCATACCGCTCTCCGCCTGGTCGAGCCTGGCGAAAAATTTCTCGTCGTCACGGCGTTGCTTGCGGAGCTGCCCTTCAAGCCGTTTTCTAGCTTGCTCTCTCGACTCGCGTAATGGTGATAGATCCTGAAGCTGGAAAGATTCGCCTTCCGCGGCAGGATCCAGCTCGGAGGGTAGGGGTAGGGAAGCTATGGCTGCCTTATAAACAATTCCTGCACCCGGTAGGGCAGGAAAAATAACAACAAAAACGGGTGGTAGGGGAGTGGAGGAGGTGTGGGGGGAGGGAGCTTGTTGGCGGCAGACCGTATTCCGTAAGCAGTCGTGGGGTGCTGGGCACCTTCTGGGGACCGGACACCAGTACGGAGAGAGGGGGGGGGGTAGAATGCAGTTGATGGAATGGGGGGAACTTTTTCCCGGTGTGACTTGACTTCCTTTTTTTATTATTAGTCTATTGCTCCTTTGTTTTCTCTCTCAGAGCTTATGATGATACTGCACCTTACAAGGACAGGCACTTTTCTTGAAGGAACAGGGGCTGTACAGTGCAGTGCTCGGATTCGGAATAGTATGCACAGTACTGAGTGCTACAGAATCCAGAGAAAAGGCTCCCAAGCCCTTCCCTCTCACTACTGTAACTGGAACGTGCGTTGGATCAGAGAGATTATTGGCTGTCGTATATAATATTTCGGGCTCTGCGGGTAGCCGAGCTAGCAGAGTGAAACATAGATTGCCGTCAAGTGTGTGCTTGGTTTGGTGTAGTTCCCAAGAAGATTGAAAAGATGACCCTCCGAAGGCTCGAGGATGGAGTGCACGAAAAAAGGGATTGAAAATCGCCGAGTCATGCGGCCGGCCAGGCTGGAGGGAATGGGAATGGGTGTGGGATGTCAGGGCTCGTGGCAGGTGCAGCGCTTGGCGAGTCCGTTCCTCTCAGAGTAAACGCCGTGTGTCCAACAATCAATTACCGATAGTCTAATTAGAGCTCGAGCTCTCACTCCCCTTTCCAGTTCACTGAGTGGCAGGGTGACATAAGCCAGACATCCGCCTGCGCCGCCCAATCACTAGGCCTCCCTGCAAGTAAAAAAAAAAATTCAAATTAGCAGTGTTATACGGTATAGGAATTTCGCCAATGTGATCGGCGTAGGAGGGTAACATACCGTATCAGCAAGGGGCAGGGATTCGCCATTCGACCCGTCCCAGCTTGCACGCCAAATGTTTAGTAACTTATCGCACATTGCAAGGCCGACCGGGATTCATCTCTCGATGCCTTACTCGAGTACAGTCACTTGGCATCATGGCAAAAAAAAAAAAAAAAAAAAAGCGAAAAGACGAAAAAGATTTTCGTCAAATAGCGTCAGCGGTGAATGAATACTGAGCAAAATGATTCTTTTCAGGATGGATTCTTCTGT